CAAGTTATCTTTATATTGTTCTACCTGGTCTAGTAAGCTTGCAATCTAAAAAAAAAATAAAGATAAATAGATAGCATAGTTGTTTCAATTAAGTCCTCCAAGATAAAACTTTGTTTATTATATTATTTAATCACAAGAAATTACGTCAGCAAATTCAATGATTTAAACTCTAATTAGCCTGCATTAGTAAAACACCTGAGACATAAAAAGAGTGAGACACTTGTATTCCAGCTCCTCACCTGCAAAACCAAAGTACTGCAAATGTGGGTTTTTGTTTTCTTTTTTAGAGAAATCTACCTGTTCACAAAAGATCCATTAATCTGCACTGTGAGTGATCAAAGCTTGACTGATGTCATTTGATGGGACATATTAGCATTTGATGTGCAACAATGACAAGCAGTCAATATAAACACCATCCTTGTCCTCCCAGAAGCCAGAAATGAGATAATAATATAAACATACAGTGGGGTTGTGTATGCATTTATACATGTAAATCCAATAAGAGTTCCAGATATTGTGAGTAATTTCTCTGTTTCTTCTTAACTTGACACAAAAACTCACCACAAACATTCTCTCAAAACGGGTTAAATGACACCATTATGGGTAATTGCCCTTTCTGGTCTTAAAAGAATTATCTCTCACTTGCACACCAAAACTTATGTACCTACTTCAACTTTGGAAGGAAAGGAAAATCAGTCTACAACTGATACTGACCAGTCTCAAAAGTTACATGAACAATCACAAAACGCTTTCCAGCAGGAAGAGAGATGGACACAAAGAACAAAGCAAGGAATAGGAAGGTTGAGGCCAAAGCAACTCAAAGTCTGTAGAACTCTCCCAAAGCTCTCACCTCTCTGTCCTTGACCTGGAGTGCTTCCTGCTCTGCCTGCAGCTGCTCCTTCAGCAGCAGGGCAGAACTGCCATCCACCGGCACTCGGTGCCTTGCTTCATCCAGTTTAGACTGCAGGGCAGAGATCTGGATCAAGTTATTGTACTGCTGCTGTTGCAATGCCTCTTTATCCTGAAAAATGGGTTTTTTTCATGTTAGAATTAAGTGCTGCCAATATACAAACCTCCTTAACCAGAGCAGTCCTGCTGAAACACTTCATCAACCCTGACACACCCAGTACAAGAAGTACATAATCCCAGTGGGCTATAAAGAAATAGGAATTCAAAACAACTGAATGTTTTTAGCTCATTATAGGTTTTTACCCCTTTATTTTTTGTAATCCAATTTTAACAACTTCTGAAAATTTAGCATTCAGTGATAAATTACACTTTCTCAGTTACATAGCATTTTTTATGTATAAGAACATAACATCTTGTTCTCGTAGCCATTTCCAAATTTATTATGATACCATATACATGCCAAACTAAATTTGATAGATGAACACAGTTTAAGAAATGAAGAGTTCTGGGTAGATCAAAACCTACTCACAAATACATCAAGTTCAGTCAGAACGTGATAAAACAGCACTGAGTTTGTCCAACCTGTGATCTGCTAAGCTATCATAGCTTATTTTATTTCTAAAAACTTGGTTTTTGATCCTCCTTCTCTCACAGTCCTTCTCAGGAGCTGAGTCAGTCCAAGGAGGAAAGGTTCACCTGGGAACTGTCCAAACAATAAGCATACATATCTGTACTTAGTACAGTAAAGGAAATCTTGATAAGAAGCCTAAGGCAGTAATTGCCTCTGCTGTTCAACACTTACTCTGCCTATAGTTTAATGCACATACCTTTAATAGGTTATTTTAGACTCACTGTATGATTTGTAAAAACATACATAAATTTAAGCATCTTTTCTCTAGTTCAAGAGATTTAAGACTCAGAGCACATAGCTACCATCTTCTGATTCGAAACTGAGAGTAGTAGCAATTAAAAAAATAAAAATAAATTGCAAAGTTAATGCTGTGCCACAGTATCAAAAGGTAAAAGAAAACCAGAATTTTTTCTCGCCCTTGCATGAAACCTGTGATATCAACCAGCTCCTCTGGCAGTGCCTCAGAAAAGGACACACAAAATCAAACTAAACCCCAAGCAACAGCAGAGCCTTTTTTGGTTTTTATCAACTAAAAACATTACCCAAACCACAGCGGTCACTGACTTAAACCCTTCAGCAACACTGTGCAATCCAGACCACTGCAGAAGTGGGCTGCCCTGCCTTTCCTGGACAGCAAAGCTGTAAGTGTGCAGTGTCAGTTCAGCTCTGCACACAGGAGTTCAGTTCCTCCTGGCATTCTCCAGTTGCCATATCCTGGGGTTGCTACAGCAACTCAGCAAAATCAAGTGGCAAATTAGGCAAAAATCAGGGCTTTATATAATATACCTCCACTGTACTTCCTGGGTGGTCATTCACATGCAGTCTAATGTGGTGTCTTCTTCCATGAATCCCAAAATCCACAGGAGAGCAGACTCCCTAAATTAGCTCCACTTCTTAGATCTCAAGCAAAAGGACGAACAATCCCTCCAACACAACCCTACCCAGGAGCTTCAATGTTACATATCAGCAACCTGAACCACTGGAAGGAACTGGGGCAGGACAGAACAAGGATCTGCTCCATGCACATCAGTAGGGCCAAATGAACCTATTAGCTGTGACTTTACTCAGTATTCCTCACAAGCTGTTCTATATTCAAGACATTCTATTTCCAGACCTATTTCTTATTCCTCCATCACCTGCAATACATGCATTTTTCATATGTTGGAATTTGGGGGACAATAAAACTCTGCAATTACCATTCACATCAAGTGTACTTTTGCAGAAAAGTGCCATGGCAAGGAATTGTTCTTAGAGCTCCATTGGAACTTATTTACTGCACAATATTGCTTCAAGACAAGCTATTACAGTGCTTTCACGTGGCAAATTGAATAGTACAACCTTGTTTAGATTGGATGAATTAGTTTCTGGGGGAAAAAAAAACCCAAACTCGAAAGTGTCTGAGTTTATTTATTTAAGATATTTACAAAACACCAATTGATGGGGACATTCACACAACCAAAAGAATATTCTGAATTCACATGGATAGAGAAGGCCTGTTTAACAGCAAGCCAATATTCCAGAGGAAAGAGCAATTTGCCAACACCAAGCAGCACCACAGTCTCCATCCACTCTGAGGCAGACAGAGAGTAAATGGGCATGGCTTTTTATGTTTGGATAAAACCACAGAAAAAATTAAGCTCAGAAAGGTCTTTAGAGTTCTCTGACTCAAAGCAATTCTCCTATCTCCCAGTCAAGAGACACCACTGCCACTCTGAGCTTCCTTTAAGGAGTGGCTGTGCCCAGTGTGAACACTTCCCCCTTCCATTTAATTGGAATTTCCTTTGTTTATATGCATATCTTCTCATCCTTTCATTTGCACCTTCTAGTCTGACTCCACCTTCTTAAAACCTCTTACAAAACTGTACAAAACAAGATCTCCACAAAGGTTTAAACAATACTCAACCATGGAAAATTATTGGGAGGACACTGAACATTCACTTTCAGATGGTAGAAAAAGTCAGTCAGATGTTTAGTAACATTTGCTACATGGATTGTAATTCTTAACTGTAGGCTGTGATTACCTCTGTAGTAGTAACAAACTGGTAGAAGTTTTGGACTATGGCAAACAGATCCAGCTTCAGACACAGAGCAACAAGGGCTACAGATTAAGATAATTTGATTTTAAACACAGGTACTTATTGAAGACCCTCAGTGTTTGATATTCAGTAACATCACCTTCTCAGAAACTTCTAGACAAGCACAAAAGCAGCTCTGAAGGAGCAAACATGACAACTGTCAAAAGCAGCCTTCATAGTAGGACTTTGAATGTCTTACTTAAGTCTTATAAGTAATATCTAAAGTACATACTACTTACAAGTAGTACTTAAGCCTTTATAATGGACTTAAGTGTTTGTAGAACCAGAGATTATTTAAAACTCTGGCTGTGATATGTGCCATTAATACACCAGTTTAACTCACCACTGGGTGCCAGACACTGTCATAAACACTACTGACAATCCCCAGAGCCACTGTCATGTAATGCAAATCCCATTTAAATAAGGACTTAAAAATTACCTGTTTCAGCTCAGTTTCCACTTTCTTCATTTTCTGCAGCTGTTGTTCCAAGCTGTGTACTGTCTTTGAGACCTCAGCACCACTGAGCTTCAGCTCTTGGATCTGTGCCACCAGTTTTTCTATCTCTGTATCACGAGCTGCAATTTCTTGGTGTTTTCGCTCCTTTTCTAGTAGCAGTTTATTGTAATCATCCATCTTCTCTTTTATTTCTGCTTGCAAAGATTCTACCTACATAGAGATCATAGCATACAGATATTCAGGCAATATGAACAAATTTCCTGCCAGTTGAAAGCAAGAATCATTTCACATTAAAGCAAATTTTACTATGGATTAAAGTGGTGCTAAAATCCCAGGTGAAAATAAAACTAAATAAAGAAAGTAGGAAGAGTTAGCTTTTTTTCTGAAATCTTGTTTTCCAAATGCAGCAGCTCTTAGTTTGATTAGTCTCTCAACATCTGCAGTACTCTCAAAGTACCAGGATGAAGGTAAACTCAAAGGAGTCTTTTGGTGATAGGGTTAGTTGGTTATGAGATTACAGATCCATCAAGATCACATGAGTTATTCATAATAACATTGGATTATGAACCCTCAGAACCCTCTTCCAATATTCCAAGGAATTCCAGTTTAAAGGAAGATACCAAGAACTGAAGGATAAATATGCAGTCAGAGATTCCCAGGAGTCAACATAGGACAAGTACTTCTCTTTCCAACAATCACTTAAATATGAAGAGGATACAAATTTTGAATTTTAGCTGCAGGAAAACAGTCATTCATCCCAGTAATCAAGGTGAAGGCAAGGCTAGGAGCTTTGGTGTGACAGACAGACTATCTCAGGGTGTGATAAAGTCATTTAGCATAGTGAAAGCAAGCTCAGGCAGGAAAGCAGTGGGAATGGAGAAGTAATTTGGTCAATACCCATGAGCAAGGTAAAATGGGATTTTACAAAATAAATGTTTTGTTCATCAAGAAGTGTCTGAATTGATGTAAATCCCACTTCAACATTATGAAATAAAAATTCTTTGCATTAACATAGATCTTTATATCTTCAAAGTATTGTGCAGATTTTACTAAAGCAGGAAGATATGCTCGAGCAAACAGAGGAATCAAATTAATAAGCAGGGAGAATGTAGGAGACTGGTTAAGAAAACCAGAAGTTATGAACATTACATCTTCAAACTGCTTATAGGCATAAACCTTCCCTTGACTGTGTATGTATCTTACTCCTTTCTCATCTCATCAGCAACTAAGCATTGCTAACCATAACACAGGTCTTACAGTGAAGTTTTTGGGCATAGAAAAATCTTCTAGAAGTCTAATCATTCTAATGCTACAAAATTTTGGCATCAGAATCCCCAAACTATGACACTTCAGACATAAAAAGCGTGTTTTTAACACCACATTGCTGGAGAGCTAGTGCTGTGATCCTGTAGCTAAGAAAACACTTCCACGTAACCTCCACTCTCACAGTGCACACTGCAGCTCCCAAGAACCAGTCAGCACTCTTCACAAAATTATCCCACTTACACATACCCTGTATCTAGTAAACACCAGAGGGGGAAACTTGTTAGAACTGCTACATGCAGAAATCAGTTTACTTGAGATGATTTGGTTTAGAGTGAGTTAAGCAGTTACTGATGTTACAGCTGCATTAAACAAACAACTGAACAAATGCTGACATTTCCTGGCACAGAATGCCTGCATACCTCACTCTATCCACAAATGTCACTTGCCTAGTTACCATCCTTGTGGGTTTTTCTCCAAGTAAGTTTGCATCCTTTCTGAGAGAGGTTGCAAAGCTACAGTGTTAATTTTTTCAGCTATGGCCTCCAGCATGGAAAATTCATACACTGGAAATTCATTCATATCAAAGGTAAGGATTGCACCTCCTAACACTGAGGCACACAATTCCATAGCTATACATAAACAGGCAGATGGAAATTAACTATTAAAGTGAAACTAAATTAAAATTAACTACTTTAGCAGTTTTGATAAGAGCCAGGCCACAAACAAAAGCTGAAGGCTAGGGCAGAGTTTTATCATCACTATTCCAGTATCTTTGTTTCATGCTCCAAACCTCAACTTCTCCTTTTATAACAAGTGGCTGTTTCAGTGAGTAACTGCCTGCAACACCTCTGAGCAGTAAGCCAGGAGAGCTAATTACTAATGTACAGGAAATTACATTGAAAGCAGTTCTTCATTCCCTGCAAGATTTCTGCCACCCTAAAACCTATATCCTTAGCTCCAAGTCATACTGAGTCATGCCTTGGCATATCAAGAAGAGGAAAAAAGCTAAAGCACATCTAGAAGGGATTGAAAGAAAAAGGAAAGAAAAGTTAAGAGACATTCATGCTGTTTTCCATACCTGCAGAATCAATTCATAGTTCTGTATAATGTTCATTTATGTGAAAAAAAAACAAAAACAAAAACAAAAAACCAGTCAAAAGGGAAAAAAAAAGCAAAAGTTAATCTTTGAAGCCAAGCATCAAACAAACAAAAATGTGTAAACAAAGACTCATTTATAAACTTAAATAGGATGAGGCATGCAGACAAAGGACATCTCTATTTCAATTGTTTAGGTGGAAAAAATAAACACATTTAGAACCCAGAAGTAATTTCTCAGATGTGCTTTTTAGAGTGGAGTGTCTGTAGTGTTGTCCTCCTTGGTTCATTAAAGCCAGACTCAGAGGTTCCTTTAAAACAGACTCAGAAACTTTACTATAAAGCACATGCAACAGTTCTTTCCATCTTTGTAACAAATAATATAATGCACTCTCATTCCTTAAATATAGTTCAATCAGCTGGGGAAAAATCTGCTCTCTGGCTAACAGAGGAAAAAAGTCTCCCAAGAACCAGACCCCCAAAAACAAACAGTTTTGGTATTTAATTGTATTAAACTCCATTGGCCACCAAGTCTGATTTTACTCACCCTATGCTCTCTGGACTGCCCTGAAGTCTGTGATTTTGCTGACAGTTTTAACTGTTCTTCCAATTTCTGAATTTCCTGCTGAAAATCATCGCGTTCATGTTCCCTTTCTATGGCTTGTTCCTGTAAACGCAACCAGAGAGAATCAAAATGTTTTTGAAGATTTCATTACAATCTCGAGTACAAAAATAATTGGGGTTTATTTTTGTGGTGAAGAAACAGTTAATTAAAAAAATAATTAACTGATTACTAATAATTAATCAAGACTGCCTTCCAATAGTCCTGAAAGCATATCTACAGTTAGAGAGAAAAAAAAAGCACCTTTTTGACTGCAACATACATATAAACTACAATTATCATTTAATAAAAAGGAAAAATTACCCTGAAATATTACAAAAAATGAATTGAAAATTTTACCTTTTTTCTCTTCTATGAGACTAGAACAACCAGGTCTTAATTTCAACCAAAACTGAAAAAAGCCCACTTTAGGAACCGCCTTCCATGTCTCAAGCCAAGATGAGAATTTATCGCCTCCAAACCCATGTAAATGTGGTCTCTTACTTACATCCATGAATTGCCGCTGATTTTTAAGCTGTTTTTCAAGAACTTCAATTTGCTGTTTTAATTCAGCAACCTCCAGTAACTTTGTAGCCAGGTCTTGGTTACTGCACAGCTGCTCTTCCAGTTCCACCTCCAAAACTTTCATCTGAGAGCGTAAGTTGGAATGGTCTTTTTCTGCCTGACACTGAAGCTCAAGTTTCTCCTTTGACAAAAATTCTACTTCCTTGAGTAGACCTGAGTAAGAACACAAAAATAATAAAAGCTGTCAGTGAAGGCTACAAAAGTCAAATGTTTCAGATGAGATTAAATTTGGATATTTTGGACAGCATCAAAACAAAGAAAAATATTTATTCCTGAGGTGGGCTCTAAGAGACATCCTACACTGCCCCACCCTAAATCCAAGTATCTCCTTAATCAAGCCATCCAATACAGAATTCTCTGTTCCTCTAAACTCTCATGCCAAGATCCTCCTAAGACATCCAATATCAGTCTTGAGCTAATTTCTCCATTACTCCTGCCTTGTGCCATGCTGGTGAGTCAGTACCCAGTCCCATCTTTCTAGTGGCCACTGGTGCCCAGCCTGAAACCAGCCGCTAGGAAAAAACTAAGTTACTGCATTTCTCTTTACCTGAGTGGGGATTAAAACCCAGAGAGAAATCATGCTTACAGAAAATCAGTCCAGTTCTGAGGTTACAAAGGAAAAAAAATGGCACATATTTTCCTTATGCAGACTGCAAAAGAAATACCAAAGAGGGAAATGTACATAGCTGAAATTATTTAAGTTATCAAGAGTTATCAAGATCATTTAAGTTACCAAGAACACTCTTGTAGAAAAGCTACTTTAATGTGAATATAGTTAGTAAACTGAGAATGAAAAGAATTCTGTCTATTTTGTTTCAAAGCAAGGTCCTGCAAGAGCTCATGATTTTACTTTTCAAATGTTCTATTATTCACCTCAAATGTTTTTGTCACAGGTTAAAGGTAAGTCTGTGATCCAACAAGGACCTTAAGAAATCACCCAGCCCAATTTCTGAAATGGACAATTCCCTTTTTGAAGTATAACCAATTCAATGTATGTGATTTCTGACTTGATGTCATTACAAGCTGCTCTTAAAAATCTTTGCTACCACAGCCTACCTACAACATTTTTTCTAGGACTTTATTATCCACAGATATTGAATGACATTTCTAGACCCTTGACACTAAGCAAAAAATCATGAAAATTTCTATGTTCACATATAAAAGGGTAAGTGTGACAGGCTTGGAATAATGCAACAACATTTACACTACACATTGGGGAAAATGTCACTACAATGAGGATAATGGAAAACAATGTCAAGAGTGGATGTGTCAATGTGAATTCTCTGGTTCTGAAAAATCAAAAAAAGCCAGACAAAGAGAAACAAGGAAGTTTGGGACAAAAGCATTGACTACATGAGCTCTCAAGCTCCACAGCAATCCTGTTATGGATTACAGCTACACTCCAACTACATTTTACTCCAAGCACTAATCATAGCCTACATTTTTATTTTTAAATAACCACAATAAATAATCACAAGTTTATTTGGTTGTGGATGTACTCAGGCTCTGGCAGAATGCATGAAGTGAAGACTCTCCCCTAATTTCTCTCTCAATCCCCTTGGAGCTCTATTGTACACATAATGTATTAGATATATATATATATATATCATTTCCATCATGTGATGCAACAGACAAAAAAATCACAAAACCCAACAATAGTGTGAATTCCATTAGGACACTCAATCCCAGCCATAGCTGCATGACAGAGAATATCTTTTGCCAAGAGCTGTGTTTTGCCAAGCAGGAGATGGGAACAATGTGAATAAAAGAGCACCCTAGTGTATTTACTTATACATGGTGCTGAGAGGAGGGCAATGGCAGGTGCTAGACATATTTAGGCACCCAAAAGAAAGTCATGGATTTAGACCCTGAAAGAAAAGAACTAGGATTTGGGAAAAGAAGCACAAGAATTTTGCCTCCTATATCCTAAGGAACATGGTTGATAGCTTCTTTTTCAGCTTCCAGAGGAACACTAGTGTTTTTGAGGAACAGAATACTGATTAGGCAACACTGACATACACAGTCACAATCACCTTCTCAGACAGAAATGCAAATTAATTGACAAAAATAATTAGGCAAACAGATTCTACCTGGAATCAGCAGTATTTCATAGAAAGCATGTATCAAATTTTGGAAACCTCTAAACACAATCTGACAAAGTCTTTAATTTTATTTTTTTAAGCACATGTTCACCAAGTGTATAAATAGAATTTCAAGCAACACACCAATAGATTATCAGCTCACAGATTTGTTTCTTTGTAGGGGCAAACCTATTTTATTAATGCTACTTCACATCATGCAAATCCCCTTCAGAAAGGCCCCAGCACACTCCTTAGGACTCCCAAAATCATTAGCAAATGCCAAGCTCCATTCCAAAAAAAGTTTTAATTAGCAAGGCCATTCTACTCACATTAGTACTCCACATGAAAAACAGGAGGAGATGTCAGCTTTTCAAGGAATAAGCCCATGCCAATCAACTCCAAACAATATGATTTATATTTATCATGTTTTCCCACATACTACAAGCAAATTCAAACCTGAGGAAGAGTACTACAGATAGCTGGGGTGAAGACAAGGGGATGGATTTCAGGACTTGGCCCTTGCAGCAAAAACTGATCAAGTTCTGAGAAGCAGCTGGCAAGAGCTGGGCTGCAGCTCTTGGGAGAATGTCAATCCCAAAATACACCGTAACCAACTTGGTTCTACATTCCCCCTCATTCAGAGGGCAGCAGCAAATTTCAGGACAGTGAGGTGGATACCAAAAATAGGTTAAATTAAAAATAGTGTTTGAGGGACATCTGAATAGACAGAAGGCATAAAGATCTAGTAATGGATAAGAAAGCTCAGTGCTGCTATTTGAATCTAACAGGAATTTACCTACATAAATTTTTATTCACCTGAGTCATTTGGTTTACTCAGCTAACACTGAGAAAAAGTCCAGAAATAAGAGACAGTGAATATGCAAGAATCTATGACTATATATGTGTTATAAATTAAATTAATCTAAAAAACCATAGGAAAATTATATTTTGAGTAGACCACAAAACAATCATGGCAACTATGAATTTATCAGATCTAAATGTTAGCCACTCAGGAGTTCAGTATGCAAACTTCAGTTCAGGAGGAGAAAAAAATTTCTCTTTCAATTTGGCATCTACAAATTTGACTACAGCACTCGACTTCCAAAATTAGACTTCCAAAATCCTTCCTGCTTATTTCTGGTTTCCTCTTTCATTGCTTTACTAGCCTTCCCTACCATTCTGCTTTCCTTTTTAATGACCTACCAATCCATTCAGTTACACTTCTCTCATTTGCCTTAGATGTCCATCTTGGAAGATGTACTTGCTGTACTGTTTTTAGCTCAAGTTTTATGTCACCTCAAATATTTTTCTTTTTCTCTCCGTTCTTTAACTTAATTTACTCATTACTCATACATAAATGAGTACTCATTTACTCATTAATTTACTCATTTATAGCCCACTCTGTATCACTAGCAGCTCACAGCCAGCCTGCAACCCACTCCATCCCCTTGAAAAAAATGAAGCTGGCAAACACAAAGACAATGGCACAATGCATTTTAAGCTTAATGGCAGCAAAACATCTTTGTCATTTCGAATATTCATTATTGAATTGAGTATTCCTAATTTTGCAGCACAAAAGTAATAGCTTTTTTTGGCCAAGATAATTATAAACCAAATAACCTGTCAGGCCTAATTATTAAGTACTATTCCTCGTTGTTAAAATAAAAAAAGAGTTATCAATTCATTCAGTCAGTGTTACAGCAACATGGCAAGAAAAAGAAAAATCCACACTTGTCATTACAAACCTGAACCTTCTTTTTGTGCTACATTAGCAACACATGTTCCTAGAAATCAAAACACAAACACATGTACAAGACAATTAGGGCACTGTGATCCATTTCATCTTCTTGGCACAGATTGTGCCAACCTTTAGGCATCTCATCTTCATTGTGCCACGAAGCTCCTGATGACCTTGATCCACATGTGTAGAGCTTTCTGCCTTTCTCACCTGTGTACCAGTCTGAGCCGCTCATTAGGTCATCAAACCAAACTCTGATCCATGACTGAAGGACATTGCAATGTCCCCTGACTTTAGACAACTTTGTTTTGCACTAAGAAAGCTACATTCTGCTCACCAAGGATTGCTTGCTCCTGGGTTAGCTCCTGGAAGCGTTCCCGCATGTTCTCCAGCTCCACAACAAGACGACGCTCAGATTCCTCTTTCAGGTTTAAGGCCTCTTCTAACGCAGCTTTTTCTGCAACGTAGCCTTCAATAATGCCTGGAAGCCAAGTCAGAATGCAAATAAAGCCATAGACAAACTCATCTATTGGGAAAAAAGCAGCTTGAAAACATGAGTAAACAGTTTTTGCCAAACAATGGAATGTGATATAAAAAGGAAGAACTAAAAGATGATTTATGTTTATACTGTAGCTAGGCTTTTGAAGTATCTTAAGGAATAAAATGTACTAGTTAATGTATTCTAAGATTATCAAGATTTTACGAGGCTGACACATCTCAAAGTGTCTCCAAATCTGTAGAATTCAAATGGGGATCATTAAGCTTTGATGGCCTGGGATGAGCTTACAACACATCCTCTGCTGAGGGCTGACGTTTGAAGAAACAGAATCTCCAGAAAGTAAGATCAAATGTTAGATTTAGAGCCCAAGAAATCCAGGAAACAGAAAGCACATCATAGATACTGGGAGGGACAAGCTCTGAGTAAATGACACTGCAGTCTCACTCAGCTTCCTTTTCTTACCCTCTGCCTTATGAAGCTCTAGTGCCAGCTGGTTCTTGGCCTCACTCTCCTCACTGAGGCACTCCATCAGCTCCTGGTGCTGACTCACCACCTGGGCGGTCTCCCGATTGCAACGGCTGAACTCTTCCTCAAACTGTGCATGGTTTTCATGCATCTTCTCTAGCTACAAGTGAATAATTTCCCCAGCATCAGACCTCAGATGCACACGCAAGGTAATAATACCGCAGACATTTCAACAAAAACCTTCTCAAATTTTTAATAACATTTACGCATTAAGGTCCAAGTTTTGAAGTTTCATTTTACTACTAAGCTGACTTTGCCCAAAACTTCTGGATACTTCAGTGAATCCCTGTCCTTGTATACCAGTATTTTTGCCACAAGTCTTGCTTAGGAACATGTGTTTCTTCACTATTCATAAAAATAAATACTTCCCTATTAGCTAAACTGCTTAGCTTGACACTTCCTGAGCCACTTGAAATTTAAAGCATCCTTACACTTGAATTCTTCAAGAGATTCAGTCACCTTTAATAGACAGGGAAGTCCATGTATCATCAGGTTTCCCAGGTACACCACCAGTAAGCAAAGTATGCTGGATCACAGCTGATGAGGGTCACCTAGAACCCAGATCTGCCATGGCTTGGGCAAGTGCTTTAACCACAAGTTAGCTATGTCTCAGTGGAACCATCATCAGTACCTAAAATTAAATTTATGCACCTCATTCTAGGAGGGATTTTTGAAGATGGTGAATATGCATTTCATACAGACACACATATCTGGGTTTCACAAAATACCTGATGAATAGATTAATTTCAGACATGTTTTTCCCTTCCCATCTTCTCTTCAATTAGGGACTTCCTTACCCAAAAAACTAATTATTATCACACTAAATTAAATCCTCAGATGTATATAGTGCTTGTGCATCTACTCCAGATGTGCAGTCTAAACATTGCAAAACTCAGTATGGAAATGTTCAAGTTCTTTTATGATACTAAGTGCATCTCCTTTTGTCAGAATTAAAGCAGCATATAATTACAAGAACGTTTGTTTGCTGCTATCTACATATTTCCCAAGCATTTTGACATTGGATTGCATTTTCCTAAACCTGCTTATCAGTGTCAAAAAAGCATCAATGTGAAGCGTGATAAAATCCCCTCAAAAAAACTACTGGTCTCCTAAAGTTACCAAATTCATTTAAATTCTAGTTTAGATCTATTTAAGGTGACCAATTTATTGCCTCCCCACAGGATGTGTTAAAAGACTTAGAACTGATTTCACATTTTCAGTGTTGTACATGAAACAACAAAACTGTTTGTGTTGAAAGGGATCTTTAAAGACCAGCTAGTTCCAAACCCCTGCAGGGACATCGTCCACTAAACCAGGCTGACTCTGTACAGATTAAAAAGCTTTACTTGTTTAGTTGACTCTGTAACCAGTTCCAGAAGTTTCTCCACTGCAGTGTGCAAGCGATGACAGATTTTCTGTATTGTTTCTTCACTTTCACACGCCGATTCTGGCTTTGCAAAAACACTTTCACATAAGTACTGGCTCAACTCGGACACCTCGTCAGATGCTGGAGACAGCTGGTTGTGTTCTGTGAGAGTTTCATCAAGCAGCTCCTCTATTGAAAACAAGGAAGCTATTGAAAAACACAGGAAAGTGACAGCTAGCCACAAAACTGGTATCAGCCAGATAACTGACATCAGGCAGTGACATGGTCCTGGACATGCACTATGAGATGAAAACTTGGACACATCAAAAACTCAATGCTGAAAAATCATGAGGTTTTTCACATGGTTTGGGAATCTTGTGCATACATCAGGACCTGGAACTCTGCATTCACCAAGTCCATCTTTCCTGCCCTATAATCTATACAAGCTTTTCTAACAACATTTTAGTAGTTGCATATTAAAAGAATTAAACTGAGAGAACACTGGTAGACACTATCTTAAGTGTGGACCAACTTTGAAAGACACAAACATTGCAAAAAGAGATAATCTCTTTCTGATCTTCATCCATACAAAAGGATATGAAAAGGCAGTTTTCAAGTATTTTAATTGACAACATCCAGGTTTGCTGCTTTGTACTCACCTTTTTCTAGATGATGGCTTTCTTTGACTTTAAAATACTGCATGAATCCCATTTCTTCCATAATATTCTGAGTTTCTTTAGAATCTCCAAAAGCCAGGCTGTCATCAAGACCAATCTTGCTACAGATAAGGTCCTCAGTAACTATTGTGGCCTTCACCACTTCCATAAGCAGCTTCAAAACGTGCTGGTAAGACTCACGCAGTTTTTCCCTAGAACAAAAGCATACTGAACATTTGAAAAATTGCACGCACTTGAAAGCTCTATTTCTATTCATGAAAATATTTTAGTTTTAAGATTAACACTAAGCCAGTTTCTGAAAGATGAGAGAGAGAATTCTAGAAGCTTATGCAGCGTGACAGTTTCTCTAATCCACACATCCCCATGACACATCAAACCAATCCACTCCATCTGAAAGCCTCTTGGTCACAGAACCTCTCTCCATTTTTTTAGATTTTTCCAAGATTAGAGACAGCATAAACCCCAAAACACCAAAGTCTTCGTCACACTGAAAGAAAAATAGCAAGAAAAAAACCCAACTTGCTCTTAATGTCAGAACAGATTGATAACTTAGAAAACCTCAAATAAATTGCAAATAAAAGCAATATATCATCCTTCTATTTTGAGCTGGCTTAGTGTTGCCTAATTATCGATTTCTTCATGAGAAGTGAGGAAACAAGCAAACAAAAAAACTCCAAGCACTAAGAATTATGTAACCAAAGATGAACATACTTTTCCTCCTTGGACTGCTCAATATCAGACCTCAAGAGGGCTACCAAATTTCCTCCTTCTTGGTTTTCCCTGTCCTGCCGCTGAAGGAGTGTCTCCAGTTCAGAGTTGGTCTCCCCTATCTCATGCTTTAAAGATGCCACTTTCTCTTCCAGCTGTGGAAATACAGTAACAACACAAAGTCAACAATTTTGCTTAAACTTTGCTTTAGAAACTCTACCTGAAAACAAGTTTCTAGAAGATTACTTATCTCCTTATATTTATTTGTTCAGATGATACCTATACCAGATTAAAACATACGATTACATATAAATAAAAATACGTATTTGTACGTATATACCCACACCCACCTCCAGAATTTGCTGCCAAACAAATTACTGCCATTTTGCTAGAAACTGTCTCATAAGTAAGCTAAGCAAATAAGTCAAAATATCTATTTGGGAGAAAACTGCAAAGACAGAAAAGCATTCTGTTCCCATGCCAACATTCTCAACACTCACCAAGTCCTACAAGAAGAGCTGGAAAGAGTCATGCATTCCCACTCAGGAAACTCTTAGTGTTATTCTCTTTTCCCCTAGTCTAATATACCACAATAATTAAACCTGCAGTCCCTCTATATACACGTTGAGACAGACCCCTGTGCTAAAATATAACTCCAAAACCACATTCAAAATCTAAATTTGAAGTAATTTCTCCACACCTGGATAATTATTGCCGCCTTTTCCTGCAGCTGAGCTGATAACATTTCTTGTTCCTTTTGGTGAGCAGCCTGTGCCTTCTCCCTCTCCTGAATCAACATCTGTTCCTTGTCCTTTTTTTCAGCTTCAAATTCATCCTGCATAAATCATATATACTTGGATTTACTGAGAGAAGAAAAAAATGCCCAAACACCACCACTACCACCCTCCCAAAAATCCTCAAACATCCCCTGTACTTTTTCTGTATTCTTTAGAAGCACACATTCTGCCTTTCAGAATAATAAGCAGTAACTTACATATCAACACTTCCAAACAACAAAATTATGCTGAAACTGTGATCAAAATCAAAAATAATGTGGCCAGCAGAACCAGGGCAGTAACTGTCCCTCTGTACTCATCACTGATGAGGCACAATTTTATCTATGAACACCAATACACGCCAACATGAATTTTTTCACCTATTTTTTACATTGGCAAGTCAAGAAAACAGTTTTCCCCCATGGCAAGAAATAAGACTTCAGAGCAGAAGACCTGCAGACCCAAGCTGACATGAATCCTGAGCCAGTCTGCCCCATGCTTGAGCAGTTAGGAAGGTAAAAATGAGCTGACACAAAGGGGTAGGATGATTTTCCTTGACCTAGAACATGGCATTTGTGGACAAAATCTCTGAGGTAGCCTGCTTGTTCTCAGAAGCACTTAGAGAGTATGTCAGAGCACAGACAATTCTGAATACCTCAAATCTGCTAGGGGAGGCAGAGGGAAGAAACCAAGGGAACATGTTGGCTTGAAGACAACTGCATAATCAGCACAGGGGAGTGGGAAGGGAAAGGCTTGTTGTAAAAACCTGTATCAGCCCACAATACAGCTCAGTCTGACAAATGCAAAGAGATCCAGCCAATCTCTTCTGAGACAAAACACTGGTCATCAAGTTCATGAGGCAAAAAAAACCCCAACTGAATCCATAGTCAGCTGAACCAGCAAGAAAAATAGCCCTGGAAAAGTTTCAACAAAAAGTGAAGTTTCTGGTGTCACAAATGCTTATTAAGGCAGCATAAGAGAAAAAAAACCAGGGATAATTTCTGGAGTTTCTGCATAACACTCAGTTCAGTCCCAGCTTTTGTGGGCTGGAGGCTGGGGTTCAGCTGAGGACAGCAGTGCCAAATTACCTGAAACAATTTTTCAGGATACATTTGTGTCCTCTGTTTCAAAGGACAGCTGCAGCAGCCAGAGAGAGGTGAAATAGTGATCAGGACTACACAGAGGGCCAGAGGCAGGAAACATCTTGAAAATGCTTATCATAATGTTTATCATAGTGAATCAATGAAAGCAGAGAGTAATAACAAGAGTATCAACAAAATATCTCAGACAAAGTATCTGACTGCCATCACACACTTGGTACAAGCTTAGATAATACTGAATATTTTGCCACATACACACAGTATGTGCAGTAGATGTGGGATGATAGACCAAGAGCACAGTCTCTGCAGACACTAAGAGGAAAAAGTCTCAAATGACAAACTAAACATGTACACAAGGAATGCTGCTTAGAGCATGTTCCACTGATTTTTTGGTTTTAGCTGAAGGACACCTCATATCCAGTTCAGGACTTGAAGACAACCCTGTGGTAAAGGCAATTGCCCACAGTACACTGCTTTATTTCCAATGCTGTTGTTCTAGCTCTAACATTGTGAACCATTGGAGAGATCTCACTCAGACTGTCATTTTAAAGGCTGAAGAACAAAAATCTTACACCAATTGTTCTTTTTCAGTGAAACACACTCCCAGTGCATACTCAGAAGCACATTTTCACCAGAGCCTACCTTCAGCTGTGCAATCTGCTGTTCCAGCAGCACCTCTGACTGACACTTCAACAGCTCAATCTCCTCCTGGAACTGAAGCTGCTGCTTCAATTTTACCTCTGCAAATTGAGCCAGAAGAGCTGTTCTCACAGATTCTACTTCAGAGGCTGATGCAGAAGCATACAGCTGCAGACAAGGAAGGAAGGTAAAATATTTTAGCCACAGTGTTAGAATTAAGGGAAAGATGAAACCAAACTAAACTGACCAAGCTAAACCAAATTCTGAGAGTACATTCACAATCCTCAAGGTCATACAGGGCTGTCATTTATCATCAGGCTGAGTATAGAAAAAAGCAGGTTGATAAAAATAGATAAACAACCAGGCATTAGGTATCAAGTATCTCCTGTATTCATGAGGCCATCAGGTCAGACCAACAAAGTATTTCGGACTTACTCTTTCCAAGAGACACTTCCCTAAAAGAAATTGAAAAAATAAAGAGGAAAGAGGGGGAGAGAAACACAGAGGCAGCATATTTTGTTAAGATGTGATTTCCCTTGTTCAAATGGGAACAAACATTACACATCTCTATTTAGTGCAATTATCCTGGGATACAACAGTGAAAGGTTTGAGAGATATTTGTTCATTTAGGGTTTTTTATTCTACTATTCTCTCTAAGAAGAGTCACTGTAGTCATCAGATAGACAAATCCTTTTCCTAGGATGATGCACTTGAAGACTGAATCACCATTAGAACATCCCAGGAAACTAATGAAACTTCCTCCCCTGGCTATCTACTCTTCTAAAAGTGATTTAAGAGTTATTTGGAACAATATCAAATTTTCAATTTAGTAAGTGAAAAAGCAAAAGTTAGTAGTAATGTTTTAACTTAATGTGTTCTGTGGTTATAACTGGATAAAGCTCATTTTGTTTGTGACTTTTCCTACTGTATGAGTGCAATATGTAACACTAGCTGCTGCTTGCATCCACAGTAGTCAGATTATATCCTCTTACTACTGACACTATTAAAAAAATTCTAAAACCATCTAGATATACAGCCTTATTTCAAAGCTTAATAAAACTGAATTTACTTTATGATAAAACATGGTTTGTTTTGAGTTTAGGTGTTAGCAGCATTCTGACCTCTTGCTCACGTTCATGCTGTGCTTTTAGTTTCCCTAGCTCTTTTTCCAACTCCATGGAGTACTCTTCCTTATGTTTCCTAATATCTGCCTCATGAAGGTCCTGAAGCTCTTTGAGTGCTCTCTTGTGCTTTTCCTCCATCTGCAACACTTCTTCACGTAATAGATCCAGAGCCAGACATTTTTCTTCCTCCAGCAACTGCCTTTGATTTCGAAGAGCCGTGTTCAGATCATCCTGTGTAAGCATTAATTTAAAAAAGGGGAGGGGAAAAAAAGCAAGTATAAATATCTTTGCAACCCATTTGTCAAGCACATGTCCTGCTGTATCAAAGCTTTTAAAGTAAACAGGAACAATATTGTTTCATGAAGGATGAGCATACATACATATACATACTCTCTAAAAGCATTTAAATGGGTTTATTTTTATCTAGTGTAAGTTTTGTAAATCCTTACTTATTCAGAAAGATCTTTAGATTCCTAGAGGTGCAACTTAACCTCCAAAATTGCATTTGCTTTGGTCTAATCACTTTCTGAAGACTTACACAACAGCTCTACCAGGGAGAGAAGGTCTGAGCCACAAAATGAAGACCCTCCAATCTTAAAAACATTAAAAGATATATCTCATTTGTACCTTTTCCATAAATAATATAGAAAATTCATTAGACTGAGCATTTGGGGAAGGAAGCAACAGATGGATTTAATTTTCAGCTGGAGTTTCCTGTTTCAGCTCATAATATGGCCACATACAATATGTCTGTGCTGGCACAAAGACATTGTGAAAATATCCCCCAAGAACAAAGGAAAAGGTGATCCCATACAATGTGTCATAAAATTTTACCTCCTGTGCTAGGTCTTTTTTCTGACTCACCTTATGAGCTTCTTCTGCTTCAAGAGCCATGGTTTTCAGCTTTTCCATATTAACAGTAGCTAGCTCAATTTTCAAATTATTTTGGATAAGTTGAAGTTCTTCAGCATGCTTTAATTTCAGCATCTCAACCTCCTGAAGTAGTCGTGCCTGATGCATTTTATCCTGCTCTTGAAGCTGCTCCCTGTGCTGCAGCTGCAGCTTCTCCAGAGCCCAACTGTGTTCATCTCTTACACTCTGAATTTCAGATAGGTAGGAAGACTCCAAGGAATCCAGATTTGATAAGTGTTTAACCTCCAGCTCATCAATTTGGGCCTGATGCTTTGTCTGTAGTTCAGCAACACAACTTTCAAGCTGAATCTGCTGTTTACTTTCCAGTGTAGATTTAAGTGTCTCAATTTCAGCTTGGTGTTTTGCCTGAAAATCAGCTGTCAGAGACAAAATCTGCTGCTTATGCTTCTCCTGTAACTGCTGACTTTGGAGTTCCAGCTCATCCACATGTTTCATTTTCAGCTTTTGGAGAAGAATCTCTTGCTCAGTTGTAAATTTCTGAGTCACTGCTTTGTGTTCCTCCATAAACCTGTTTTATTTCCAAGAAAATTAAGAAGCTATTGTCAAAAAAGGCATTGTTTTTCTTTTTTAAATGATTGAGCTAATAAATAATAATCCAAGGAAAATAAATAGAGCTTGCTTAACCTCCACAAGTTTTATTTGATGCTTCAAATAGAAAAATAAATTCAAAGCAAGCAACAACAATGATTTCATAGCCACATAATTAAAGCTTTCTGCAATGTCACTTGGGAGTATCTGGTTATTATTAGAGAACCTGGCACCCCTATTAACTTACAAATAGAGACCAACATGTTTGAGAAATACTAACGTGACAGTATCTCATGGTGTATACATTGCTACATCTCAAATGTGTTATCTGCAAATAAATGGACTGTCATAACAAACACCTCTAAAAACATCTGGTAAAGACAGAGATAAAATCACTGTGGAGATATATGTGGGATACTTGGGGGCTCCTCCAAACTCAGCTGAGCTCTGCTTAAAGCTTGATGCAGAAAATCTAGTATCTGAAGTACTGCCATTTACTGCAATCAGTAACTACAGGATTTTTGCATGCACACCAATAACTGAAAAAAAACTTATCTAAAAGTTAAGTTGCTGCTTTCAATGTTTACTAACAGTCATTATTTCTCCAGTCTTGTTCTGTGAACATATTTTTGGGAAGGGAAGAAGGGATAAATTTGAAGCAAAGCATGCAAATACCAACATGAACTTGTTTACTTCCCTTAATTCACTTGAAACAACAGGTGTAGGAAGGGGAAGAAAAACAGTAGTTTCAGAACTAAAGAATACCAAAGGGGGCCCCATTAACCTCAGCATTCAATGGTTAGCACAAGTTTCATTCACCAGGAAAAGCTTGTTTACATTCATTCAAATTGTTTAAAAACAGAATTTTTCTGCTTATGTGGAGGCCCAAGTGCCTTAACCCTGGAGAGACACCCCTCTAGATTAGGGTGGGGAAAACCTTGTTCTCACGGGTTTTTGCAGCCACATGTCAGTACCTATTGGGTTCTGGTGTTCTAGTGGTTTGTGGAAATTGGTATCACCCTTGTTCAGCCCCCGTTTGCCATTTATGTAAATTTCCTGGAATCTTCTTTCTTCCCTTAACCCCCATTGGCTCTGTTTTCCTGCAGAACTCCACCCCTGTTGTCCTATTGGCTCTCCCAACCTTTAGCCACTCCCATGCACCACTTTTCCTTTATCCCTACTGGCCCTTGACTATCACATGCACCCCTTCTACCCCCATTTAACCCTGACCCCTCAGACCACTTCTTGTTCTCATCCCTGAACCTGTTTGTGGCTGTGTTCAATAAACCAGTTGTTGGAGTATCAAATGAGAATCCATCCCTTTGTCTTAAATCACCAGCATTTTCTACAGTGTGCTCCAGGCTGAGTGACACAGGTCATCCTCTGGGATCTCATTGTGGCACAGGCTGTAACACACATATATCCTGTCACGCTTCTCTTTGAAGGCTGGTCTATGATTTCTATCTCTGCTGTAACTCCTAACAGGCAAAACCTGACTATATTTTATTTGCTAGACTAGATGAAATGCCTTTACACAAAGCAGAATCTACAGCAGATGATAACAGACAACAGTGCTGTTCCCTGGGACAGCAGCTTTACATATGTAAATCAGATAGTGCCATCAAGTGACTACCTTGCACTGTCACTAAGTTTAAAACAAGACAAAGCAACTCTAACAATGAGTGAGCTTCTAAGGGAAACTTACTTGTTTTGTGCTTCCAGGAGTTTCAGTGCACATTCTTCCTGCAGGCTGAGTGTGACTTTTTCCATTTCTTTCGCCATGACAGCTTTGACTGCCTCCAGGTCCGCTTCATACTGCTGCTGAACTTTCTGCACAGCCTGGGCACCTGCAAGGCTGTCCTCCAGCTGCTGCAAGTTGTTTTGCTGCTCCTTCACCAGCTTTTCTAGCTCGAGAATTTTGGCAGCTTGGTGATCTTGAAGCTGAATCATTTCAGCTTCACGGAGTTCAAACTGTTTCTGTAAGTTCTGCTTCTCAGATTCCGCTCTGGTTTGCAGTTCCATGTGCAATAGCGATAACTTCTCTTCTGCTAGGATTCTCTGGGCCTCACTTTCACACTGCCATTTCTTCTCTTTTTCTTTGTACATATTCTCTATTTTCTGGACTTCTTCTCTTAATTCATTTTTGTGATCCTCAGCAATTTTATATTTTACCTGTGAAGACAATTATTTAAAAGAAAAAAGAATAAACCACCCAAACCAAACTGAAGTGCATGAAATGAACGCTCTCAGGTATTTAAGGTTGTGAAAACGTTAAATTCTTGTAGTGAAGTAACCCTTCCTAATGAAACTAAGGCTGAAATAACTAAATTTATAAGCTGACATTATGCATTAAATTCAATGCATTATTAAGAATTAATTTGGGTTATTAAGATAAGAAAAAAATTAAGGCAGAATTCTAGAATTAATATGGTACTCTATGTTGACTTTTCTTGAGGTCGTTTATCTTCTTTTCAGGAGTTCAATTTATACAGCTATGGGCATCTTAGGTGTTTATATTAGGCATGAATAAAAATCCTCTTTAAACTTCTTTTAAAAGCCACATAAAAAGAGTCTAACATAAAAACAGAAGCCAAAGCAGCAAATGATTGCTCAGTGACAGAAGGCAAAAGACTCTCTAGCTTTCTCCATCGATTTCTAAGCCTGGAAAAGGATACATGGCTCTCTAAAAAGGATGGAAAGGAGGACTTGATAAATAAGAGTTTCACCCATCTAATTCTCACAAGCATTCAAATATGCAACAATTTAAACAAGGGATTAACATCCAATCTAAGTTAATTCTCAGATTGAACAGCTGATTTAACATGTAAGAGTGATGGTAGTGTGTATGATTGTCTCAGCTCTTAAACTTTGAGGTACAAGTATTACACCAAAACAGAAATGTATTCCAACATTTGTGTCTATCCAGGCAAGTACATTTAAAGTTTAGCTACTATCCCCAGACCAGGGACTTCTAAGTGCAAGTGCTGCCTTCCCCTCCCTTGGCCTTCCCACCAGGCTGGAGCTTGCCCAACTCTACACAAAACAGTTCTGTAGTACAAATTACCTTTTCCATTTCTTCTTTCAGATGCTTTTCATTTTGCTCAGAAAAATCTTTTTGTTTTATAATCTCTTCCTTTAAATGCCTTATTTCCTCTGAGAGCTCTGCAATACGCTGTCTCTCAGAGCTGGAGAGAGCGAGCTTGGCTTTGTGCTCTTCCTCCAACACAGACACTTGCTCAGCCACCTCTATCTCAACCTGACATGCTACATCTTGAGTACTCTGGAGACACAGCTTGGTGATTTCTGGAAGGAAAAAAAAAACTAAAATAAAAATCCAGGCCAGACAATAAAATGACATTCTGGAATTGATTTCAACAGCTCCTATTGATGCACAGAAATAAAGCTGAATGTTGTCAGCTGTGCAATTTATCAGTAGCCATGCTAACTACAGGACAAGGAGAACCCCTTAGCTGGATGATTTTATATACTCTGTTCCATTTTATCACTGCCTTGGGAATTTACCAGTATTAACACACACAGAAATAATCATAAAACTTGTGGCATGACCTTCCTCCTTATCTGCAACGGCCAGAGGAGCAAACTTTCTTTATGGTCAATGTAATGACAGATTTATGGAAGTTTTATCTGCTCTTTTGCACATCATATTATACAAGGCATTTCCCTGCAAGTCAGATGGGACAAATCTCTAAACATTCTTATTTAAGCAGTTTTGATAGTCTCTCTAGTCTTAAAAATAAATAATTGAAGGTAAGAATTATAACTGCAAATTTAAAAAGATTTACTAATCCTTTTAACCAATATACAATGGAATACAATTATAACCATGTGTGTTAAATTAGCTAACTAAGTTACGTATTTTTAGTCCAAATGTTTGTATGACAGTGCCCCTCTGGGCACCAAAAATGGAAACCTGAACAATTCCTTTTAGCAACTGTTCCACAGTTCTAGTAGTTTTTACTACAGAATAAACAACTTCAGGTCACCAAATCTTCTGAAGTGCAACTCAACATGCCCATGAGTGCTCAACAAAAGGGATTAACATCTGTTCAATGCTCCCCATAGTTTAGGGTAAACTAATAAGTTGAAAACTTCTTCAGATAAGCCTGTTTAAAGAAAAATATAAGCCACACAAGCAACTTACTGTTTCCCTTCCCAGTCTCTCAGACCATCCTACCTTTAGAATGTTCTTCTGAAAGTTGGGCACGGAGCTGCTCAAGTTCTAAACAATGCTTTCTCTTCATGGCCTCAATTTCTGTTACGTATTTGTCTGACAGATCCATCTTCATTTTCATCAGGTCCTCTTTATACTGAAGTGCAAGGGAGGATCTTAAGGAATCCAATTCATGCTTGTGTTGTTCTGTAAGCTGTAGCTGCAAACAGGCAAGTTCTTCCTACAGAAATAAAGGGTTAGGAAGAGATCTTTAGCTTCTAAAAATCATGATAAGAACCTTTCAATAAGAGAAAGGAAAATTCCTTTTTCAAACACATAGTCAACTTAAAATAAGTTGAGCAAAAATGTTGAGATCTTCAGTCACAGCAAGGTGTATGAAAATAGGGGCATAAATTTAAGAGGGAGCAAATTAGCATCTTGGCTTGAAGAGAACAAGGACAGCCACAATTACTACCAGAACTACAGAAAAGAGAAACACCATGAATTCTGCACTTGTGTAGAAGAACTGATAAGCTCCTAACTCAGCACAGGATAATCCAAACACCACACAAAATTACAAAGCACTGTTTCAGCTGTACTACTAAACAGCCTCTCTGAGGCTGAGAGCTATTTAAAGATGGTAATTTACAACATTCCTGTCAAAAAATAATTAAGCCCTACTAAACATGTGAAATTAGTTTACTCTTTGTAAGAGCTAGGAATCAGACACCAGTTTTCATACGGGTCATGTGAAGAACAGTAAAGCTTAAAAGATAGCAAAAATCCTACCTGTTGTTGTTCAAGCTGTTGGTTTAGCTGACCAAGTGCACCACTTCTCTCTTTCTCAGCAGACTCTTCAAAAAGTGTGACAGAAGAACTGAGAAAAGGGTTTTAAAGTTTAAGGCTGTGATATGTCATGAATTCAGTTAAATTTACTTGATGACTTATGGCGTAGTACTGAAAGCAAGCAAAGAGCAACTACAACAACTGCTCAGGACTGGGCCATCACCTAATACTCAATCCCAATAGATTTAGATGCTAACATCATCTTTTATAGTAAACAAAAAGAAAACGGAAGCATGCTGTCATAAAATGAAAGGGAAAAGAACAGATCACCTGATATCCCCTACTTGATCTTGACTCATTTCCAACTCTGACAGTGAATAGTCCTTCAGTTCTTGCGGTCTCTGATGCAACAAAGTCAATTCTTCTTTGTAGTTTTCTTCAGCAACAATTAACTTGTTTTCAAAATAAAGTCTCAGTTGCTCCAATTCAGCTTCGTGCTCCTTGTTTCTCTGCTGACGCTGCTGTTCAAACTCCTGTTTTAAACACTCTATTTCTTTTACCTGTGATGCTCGAGCCAGGAGCTGCTCTTTTAGCTCTGGAATGGAGGCAAAACCAACACAAGCACTAAGAATATGTATCTTTCAGCTAAGTGATTCTGTGAAGATTAGATTTAGTTGCAGAGTGTCAGTGGTTTAGGAATGGCATTGCCCCATTAATATTTCCACCAAAAACACCATAAGCCACTTCCTTCTCAATGGGACTCACAGAAGGCAGAGATCACAGGTTGAAGTAAGAGCCATTTACTGGAAATAGCAATGAGATAAAAATGAACTTCTGAAAGACAAGAACTCCTTCCTCTGAAAACATTCTCAGTTACAGTACATTCAGAGAACCAATTCACATGCTAAGAATCAAAATCACCAGCACAATGTTAGGTCTCATTGTTTTCTTGCAGTGCAGGACTAGGCTGGTAACAAGCAGAGTCGTGCACTATTGCTTAACCTTCACACCTGCTTGCTGTTGTAGCACCCAGAAGCAATAAATCATTCAAGAACATTTAATTTGCTCCAGGCAAAACTATCCAAACAAAACCAAACTGAGCATAAACTGTGTAGAAAACCAAAAATCACAGGAAGGAAAAAAAAATCAATTCTGGATTACTTTAATGATGGTTTGCTACCCATTGTGTGCTCAGAGGCTGAACTGTCTGGATTAAAAGAATCGACCAATAAAACAGGAATGCAAGTAAAAAGCAGCTACCAAGGCTGCCCTCCTTCCAGAGAATGAGAACAATGGCCAGCATTGCAGCTTTTTCATTAGCCCTCCAAGAGACTTCTTCCCCACCTTCTGTATTAAAGCAGCAGTAACATTTTGGGAAGTTAAAAGGTAGGAAAAAAAGGGGAAAAAAAATCTCAAGAGAGGTAAGTTTTCCCAATAACTCAACTTTCTAAATAATTCAAGTTAGTTAAATCCCCAAAGAATCAACTGAAGTGGGAAATGCACTTGGAGGAGTTCCTTGAAAAGAAACAACTTGCCTGGAGGCAAGCAATTGCTTATGTTACACAAGAGAAACTTAAGAAACATTGATGGAAACAGAGGATGCCAACCAGGAGTAACACAACTGATTGTCACAATGTGGTTTTGTGTAGCAAACAAGAAAATGCACTCCCAGCATGAAAAAATTCTCACTGAGAAGAAACAAGTGTTCAAGGCCAGGTTGGATGAGGCTTGGACAGTGGAAGGGTTGGAATGAGATGATCTTTAAGGTCCCTTCCAACTCAAACCACTCCATGATTCTATGAAGTCCATGGTTCAAGCTGGCTTGCAAAGGGAGAAGCTGCCAGGCACGGGGACCAGAGGAATCAAGTGACAAGAAGGGACAAGGGAAGTCCAATCTGATGCAGGTAGGTTTTGGGTAACCAGCAAAATCTACTAGCACAAAATTAACCCAAAAAAGTGTTTTGTTGTTTTGAACCGGCATGCCATTCTTACACCACTGCAGCAACCCCATCATGCAGCTGCTATGATTTAAATCCCACCATCAACCCAAATGCATGGTCAAATCATCACTCAAATGAAGAACAGCAGAGTAAAACAAAACACCTTTGAGATGTCACACACCCAAAGAGATCCTCACCTGGACCATGAGCCTGCATTCTGGTCTCATCACCTTCAAGAAAGATGAAGAAACACAAAGGGTCCAAAGAATGGGATTGTGAGTGATTAGAAACATGGGAAGACATGTGAAATGTTAAAGATTAGCTCTACAGAGAAGAATTCCAGCAAATACTATGAAGTGCTATGCACTATAATTCTGTGATATCAAAACAAAAAAACCTGAAATAGTCAAGGTAAAGTCTGCCTAATAGAAAAAATTACTTATTTAGTGTATGACCAAACCAAAGAAAATGGTTGCTCTAATACACTTCAAAAGCTACCTACAGTTATATTATTCAGAAAATCTGTAAGTAGTATTTGAAGTATGTTACATGTGCCTTCTGTTCTAACTACCCCAGCAGAATTCAAAAACCTCAAGACAGAGTTTCAACACAAGGAGAACACTGGCAGAGTCATGGTTTCTAGGTTGTTGGCTTTTTTCCCCAGAAGTTATTTAATGTGTTATACATGTCTGTGCACATACATCTATGACATGCTATATTTTATTTCAAAAGGGTATGTCATCTCCAACCACTACACTGCAAAACTGGATGTTTCATTTAATACACCCGGGTCTTGAAGCAGAAATACAAATAGGATCATGTTACTGCACTGACCAGCATTTTCTCCAGTTTTTAATTACATGATACTTAATTTGACATTTCAATGAAAATCCTTTTGTTTTCACTGAATATTTTTATAGTGTGCAGGAAGGGAGTGGGAAGGGAAAGGAAAAGCACAGAAATAAGCTTTTCCCCACAGTCATACCATGCTTTTTGATACTGTAGAACCTGTCATCTGACACTGACACACCTCAATCTAGAGACAGATCATTGGGCTACAGTGCACCAGCACTGTGGCCTTCCTGTGTGCTTCTGGTACACAGTTTAAAAGCATTTTGTGTAAATAATGTCTACTTCTGTATGAAGAAGAGGCAAAAACCAAAATGTGTTAGTTATGAACATACCACTTAGCTCTTGTCGATTTGCTCGGGTACTGTCAAGCTGAGACCAAAGCTGCCTGATTTCTTCTTGTGACTGAGCCTTGAGTTGCTCATGCTTGACCTGAAGTTGGTCCAGCTACAAAAAAACCCCACATGTTAAAACAACAACAACAAAAAAACCCACCACAAACAATTTTGTTCTCAGGATTTATTTTACATGCAAGAGACACCTCTGTCAGAAATAGGTGGAAACCGTGACAACACCACTCTCAGATCCTGACAGTATAAGAGATCTCAGTAGCAGCATCTCTTAACTATTACACTCCTCTCAAAGGGAAGAATGTGTTCCTGAGATCACAATTATCTTCACTGGCAAGAAAATAAGACATTAGCCAGACAAAAACAAAATGTGAGAACCAGAAAATTAGGAATATAAATACAGAGGGAGAGATGACACCAAATGGCACAAAGGCAACTGCATTCCAAAGGTTTTGAACTCCTGTGGAAACTCGGTATTTACCTGCTTCATGATTCATTTTGATTTTTCAATAACATCCCTAAATACAAACAGGTCACCCAAATGATATGTATATGGTCTAGTTTTCATTGCATAAAGAGTAATCAACTACTCTAAACATCTAAAGAAATGTAATTTACCTCCTTCTGAAGTTCCTGTTCCTTTTCTTGGCTTTTCATCTTTATGTCTTCTAGGAGTTGGTTATGTTCAGCCTGCAGCTGTTCTTGTAATTTTGTGATAGCTAACTGGTGCTGCCTCTCCAATTCTACACATTTCACTAAAATTAAAAATGAGTTCTGTTACTCTGTCATCCCAGTTAATGAATAACCCGTACAGCTTCTGTGCAACAAAAATAGGAACACATGTCTCTACCTTAAGTACTTGCTTTTAGGGAATCACAGAAATGCTTGAGAACAGTAAATTATTTGAAAGTCAAACACTTCCATGCACTGCTTTGTAATTCTCTGCATCCCACACTGTCAGTTAGCCAAGAGACAACCATTTGTTCCATTAAGCCTTAACTATTCACAACCCAAATGCAATTTTTTTGTTAGAAAAAGCTTCTATTAATATTAATCACATTTTTTATTAACTCAGCAAGTGTCAAAACAGGTTTTCAGATAGAAGCAAAACAGCACCTCCCTTTAATATTCACCTTACATCTCATACTCTGTGGAAGTCAAAATGCAGCAATGCTATCCAAGTTTTAAACAATTCTTCATTTACAACCTGTTGTCTAGACAGTCTTACGCCATCATCCCAGGTTTTAAATAAGGCTACATAAATACATCTTGTATTCGCTTTTATACACATTGTCAAGTCACTTAGCTATGTCACTATTCAATAAAACAGCTGCCTCCCAGACCATGATACTTACTTTTAGACTGTACATTCTCAACAGAAAGAAGCCCCAGTTCTGCTCTGACTTTTTCCAAATCCATTTCCAGAGATTTCTGCAGTGCGATCATCTCAGTCTCATGTTTTTCAGACAGCTCCTCACACATGTTTTTTAAACGTCTATCAGACTCTAATTCCCAGTCTCTTTTGAGGGTCTAAGAGAGTAAGACATGCATTATATTAAAACAAACACGTTTAGTAAATTAATAAAGTTTTATTTCTCCATTTACTTGTCCTTTACAATAAATGTGTAGCAGATCTGGGACTTGTACCAGCTCTTGTTTTCTGAAAGGAGCTTTATTTTCACCTTGTATAAAGAACAGAATTTGTACCTCTAATGCCTGGACATGTGTGTCTTCCATTTCCAATTCTATTTTCTTTCTCTGGTCAACTGTGAAATAAAATACTTATTAATAAATTTACATAAAATATTAAATTATAAGTAGAAATATGGATGAGATTACAGTTTTCAACATCAAACTCAGGACTTATATGGGCAGGCATAAAGCAGGACAAGATGCTCAGTTCATCCACACCTGCTTCAGGTGAACACTGGTTCACTTTCATTTTAGAAAACAAGCATTCTAGAACTTACAGCTTCAAAGACTACTCAGAAAGTGAAGTTCAATTTAATTAGTAAAGCCTGCTGAAGTCTACAGAGAATGTGATACTAAAAAGAAAAATAATCCTAAAGGTACAAATTCAAATGACTATTGATGTCATTTTAACATTTCACTGCACACCACTATGAGCACAAAATCACCTCCAGAAAGACAGAAGTAATGTCTAGGAAAAAAGACTGCAAGACAGATGCCACTATCTGCTCAGTTATCACTGACACAAATAGATTCTTCCTTTCCAGATCCTCCCTCAATTAATTCCAGCTTCTTGTTCAGTCTCTTTTTTGGTTTGCAGGAACCCTGTAAAGGTCTATTAGCCACCTTCCCACAGCATCAAAGCATTGTTACCTAGGCTTACTTATAATATTTAATAGTTTATAATATGCAACCATTATTTCAAGTCTTTTCATGGGAAATGAAAACTTAGGGATTAAACTGGTATTAAGTTGCATTGGCAAAACACACCTTAACAGGATTGCTATTAAGAACTGCCTCTTGACCTCCTGCTTTCAAATCTCACTGTGCTATCAGTTCACTGCACTACTGGTGGTTTCTCTTAGAGAAGGACACCTAAAGGAATGGTTTCTAAACCATATTTCAGAGCTCAGATGGGTGTGATGAGCACTGCAGAGCCTAGCTGGAGGCCTGCAACTAGCAGTGTTCTCCATTTATCCACTGGAATACAAGGAAAAACTTATTTTCTGTGAGGGTGACAGAGCCCTGTAACAGGCTGCCCAGAGTGTCAGTGGAGCCATTTTCTCTGCAGATATTCAAAACATTCCTGGACACAATCCCATGCAAATTGCTCTGGGTGGAGCTGCTCTAGCAGAGGTTTGATGATCTCCAGAGAGCCCTTCCACCCCGACCAGCCTGTGATTCTGCAAACTTCTTCAGTGAAGTGCTGCAAGATTCACCTTTCTTCAGAAATTTCTCAAACTCTGCCATACAGGTAAAAAATGGTCTGACCTGGAAAGAGAGAAATTTCCCAAACAATGCCAAGAGCATCATCAGCAGGCCTTCAGTACTATGAGGTGCAGCTGCCTTCTTGCTTATGCCACAATACAATCTTATATTAAGTGCAGCTCAAAGGACACCCAGCTACAGGTTCTCACTGAGCCTTTCAGTTCCTTCCCAATTCCTTCCTAACACTGACAGGGGAAGCCAGGAAGCATTCACATATCTTCTCAGAAAGACAGCAGTTGTGCTGACTTAGGGAAAGAAAAACCCTGAGAACATAAAGGATAAGAGCCCTGCTCTTTTCACTGATCAAGTCCTTTATGAGAACTTGGTCTAAAGCCTCCTGAAAGAAAGTAGTTCAGTTTAGCACTAATTTACAGATGAAGAACAACTAAACTTGGTCTGCACAACTTCATTCTCATATATAAAACACGCACTCTTGCACATGGCAGCCCTGCCCATACTAGAGGTAACACCAGCTGTCATTCACAGGCCAGCTCTACACCAAGACAGGAACCTGTGCAGGAAGAAAATACTTATTCCCCAGTTTTAATACCTAGTTCTTGCTGATACTTGGACTTAAGGTCTTCTTTTTCCTTCAGACACTGTTCCTTCATCTTCTCCCACTCCAGCTGGTGGCGGCTCTGCAGAATCGCTACCTCCTGAGCACGTTTGTCATTGAGCATCTCCCGCAGCTCCATGAGGGCAGTCTCCTTCTCTTTCCTCAAGTTTGACTGTGTAAGCTCCAGCTGAGAGGTGTGCATATTGTTTAAGGTCAGGCGTAAAGCTTCCAGTTCAAGGCTGTGCAGTGTCTGCAGTGGAGTAAAAAAGGGTTTCTCCCTCCCCTCTAATGAAATATGCTTGCTTTTTCATGACTAGTTTAAGTTTTGACTGTTAAACACATCTGAGTTTTGCCTTTCTGTACTTGGAGACTGTTTCTTTGTGGCAAGGACCCTTCAACCCTTAAAATAAGCTGCTATAATGAGACTTGAATGTTCTCAGTGCAGTGTAAAAGGCTTTCCTTACCTGCCTCCCAATTTCCTCCCAAATATCCTGTATCTGTCTACTTCCTGACATCAAAGCAGAACACAAGCTCACTCCAGCCTTTCACTGTCTATTGAAAGAGCTCTTTATGTTTGGTGCTGGTTATAATTTGTTAACAAAGTAAAGTTCTAAGTGATATTGGAGAAGTAGAAATAAAATTCACCACTTCTCAATTCTTAAGTAAACTAACCAGTGTACCAACAGGTTATAATTCAACCTAATCCTAGACATATTCTTTCCATTTCCACTTTGCATTTAGTGGAAATGTTCAAAAACCCAGGAAATATATAGAAGTAAAAGTCAGGGTTTCACACTTCAGCTTAGCAAGAAAGCATTCCTAATTATTAATAGTAGGATAATTAAAAAGGGGGAGGGGTTTATAGCCTTCATAGAATTTACTTGTTAAACTTGCCAAAACAAAAAATTACAAAGCTGTTTTTTCTCTCTTAAAATCATCCATTTAAACATCCCGTTTTCTTCAGAATTCATGTTAAAATATAATTGCAGTGAGGATTCTGGAGAACTCCTCTAAAAAATATCAACTATCACCCACTAAGAGAACACTCCTTTTACTTTGGTTGTAGCACCATGTGAAAGAGCACATGTAATAGCCACAAAAATTAAGGAGAAGGCTCCTTGATTTCTGTGTATGCTGGAGATCATCAACAGTCAGCTAAGAACTATATTAATCACTGTGTTTCTTGTTTTCACCTGGGATTGGAGCTGAGCTTGCTCATGCTCTGCTCTGTGTGTGGCTGCCATTTGCTGCTGGAGCTCATCTAGTAGGTGCCTCTGTTCCTCCTTTAGCTCGGCACGGAGCTTCTCCATTTCCTCTGAGTGTTTAGCAGCCAGCTCGGAGATTTCCCGATCGTGCTCTCGTTCATGAACCTGCAGAGAATACTCAGATGACAAGCTTTCTTCAAAATATGTTTGTTTAGCCCTAATTATGGAACAAGAATTATCCCCTCCTCCTGACCCCAAAATGAAAACACCACGGAAAGAAATAATAAATAGAATTTTGCATATCTAAAATGTTTACACTGCTTACATGACAAGGCAAAATAACTTTATTTTTCCAAAACAAACCAAATTACAGCACATACCTTTTTTATTATAGCAATCTCTTCCTTTCTTTTTTCTTCCAACTTCTGTTGTTCTTCCACTTTGTCTTTTATTTCAGCATTTAACTCTTCTATCTGAAAACAGGCATACAAACATTAGAAATGGCTACCTTAAGCATTCCAAAACCCCATGACTCCTGCAGTTTTCAGGGTTTCCTACCTCTCTCTTGTGTGCCAAACTCACTTCAGTTAATTCAGTAAGGTGCTGATTCTCCATCTTATCCATTTCCTCTTTGTAGTGCTTCTCCATCTTGGACTGAGCCTCCTGGGCAGCCTGACAGGACTCCTGCAAGAGAGCCTCAAGCTCCAAATGAGCCTTTTTCAACTGGGCAATTTCTTCAGTCAACTGGCTTTTTTCCTCGCTGTATTCAGTAGTCTTTTCCTTTATTTCAGCAGTAAGTTTATTAATTTGTTGGTTGCTGAGGTTTAACCTGTCCTCATAGCTCAGTCTTTCACACTCCTGTATTTCTTTGATGTTTTTCATTTCAGCATTAAGCTCATGGATGTTTTTCTCAAGGTCCTCAATGATGCTAGCATTCTCTGCAAGTGCTTGTTCTGCTTTTAACAGATCCTCCTCAACATGGGATAGTCTTGCTATTCTCTGATTTTCAGCCTTCTGAGCATTAAGCTGGCTTTCCATCCAATCCCTTTGACTTTGCAAAGCTGCTAACTGATGGTCAAAAAGAGCCTGCACTTCGCTTGTCACGGAATCAGAAGCTGTTTTCTGCTCCTGAATATGTCTCACTAACTCCTCCTGAGTTTGCACCTGCATCATCAACCTGTCTCTTTCCTCCTGGAGGTCTTTCACCATTTCTAGCCATGTACAGGGGTTTGACACTTGTGCTGGAGATGGCTGGCCTCCATCCTCACTCTGCTGCTTTACTAGAAGCATAAGTTGATTTTCAAGTTCTTTCTCCCTCTCCATTTTCTGAAGAAGTTCTTTTTCACAACAGATCCGTGCTTTGTGTTCTTCCTGCAGTTTTGCATGCATGTGAGAGAGCTCAGACATAGCTTTCTCCCAATTTTGAACAGCTTCTTGGGTGTCCTGATAAGGCATTTCCAAGGCTGACTCCTGATGGAGCTGTTCAGCTGGCTTCAGAGGTCTCTCTACTAAACACATCATCTCATCATCCTCTATGTCACCGTGGTCTCCAATTTTATTTTGCTGCAGGGAGCCATCTGACATATATGAAACAAAGGCTTCTGCTTTCACCTCTGCCCCTTCAAAAACATCTTGAGCCAAGCCACTGAGACATGTCCCCTCATCAAGGCTAGAGTTTAATGGAGAAGATATAAAATCTCTGCTGGGTTCTAGGAGCACACTGTTGTCTAACCCATACATACTGCATCTGCCCTCTTCAATGGCATGGCCCTCTGAGGAGTTGGACACACAGGAGTCTTCTGGAGTTTCTGTGGAAATTAGATATTTAGCCAATATACCTTCATCACCACTGAAAAGCCCTAGTTCTGACAAGGGTTCTTCAGACAGGTTCTCCCCTTCACTACTTCCATTATCCTTCGTGATCTCTAAATTCTTTGTTTCTTCTAATTGATTCCTTGAGGAGTCATGCTGGAACTCCAGTTCTCCATGCACTGGCTCATCTCTAAATTCTGACTGGTGTGCTGTGTCCCACATCTCCTCAAGATCCACTCCCTCCAACTGAGACATCCTTGATAAAATCGGGCTTTCCCTCAATTCCAATAACTTTTTATTGGAGACTATCTCTCCTTCATGCTTTTGCCTTACATCTATACTTTTTTTAGCCTCATAAAGTTGCTTTTCATTTAATTCCCGGATGTAGGAATTCAGTTTCTGAATCTTATTCAAGGACTGTTTTTCTTTTTTATATCGCTGGGCTTCCTTCACTTGCTCTTCTGCATGAGAAAGTTGGTAGTTAAGGCCATCAATTAAATCCTTGTATTTAGTTTCTATTTCAGATTTTTCCCTCTGGAAGTCTTCCCGTTGGTTTTCAAGTTTCTTCTTCAAATTTTCTTTACTAATTTCAGATTCTTGAAGCCTTATATTTAAGTCAATTATTATGCCATTCAAATTCTGAATGTGTTCTTCAGAATTCAAAGCACAGAGTTCTTTCTTTAACTGTTCAAGTTCATTTTTATATTTTAAAATCATTTCTTCTTCATAGACCTGCTTGGCTTCTGCAATCTCTCTTCTGTGGCACTTCTCCAGCTCATTTCTCAAGTTATCCAGCTGTCTGCAAATATCCTTCTCATGACTGATTCTCAGTTCTTCAATATGTTGCTGTTCTTTCACTTTGGATAAAGCGATTTCTTTTTTTAATTCTGTTATTTCTGAGTCCCGGAGAGAAAGTGTGTGCTGTAGTATAGATAAGCCAGATCTTTCTGATGTCAGCACATCTTGAAGACTTTTAATAAATTGTTCTTTTTCAGCTATGCTTTTGTATAGCTCTTGCATTGTATCTTTCATATCCTCTTCCTTTTGGACAAGAGGGTTTTCTTTATCTTTGGTATTCTTAAAAATAAAACATTACATATAAAATATGTCATGATTTCATTTCCTTAAACCTCACGTTTTTAATTTGCATTCAGAAATAATGCTTAAGTTGAAGGTTTCTATTTATACCACTACTAATTACATTCTTAAATGAAACCAGACATTAAGCTGTTTCATTAATGTATGTTAGTCATCACAATCTCTATGAATTTATTTCTATATAAAAAGACTTTTTTCATGAATATGTCACTACAGCAAGTTCAACTTATCACCAAATTTGAAATAAATAAGAACAAAAAAATTATGTTTTTACCTTTTGAGAAGACTCCAGCTGCACTTCCAGGTCATGTGCTTTCTCACGCAGTATCTCCAAGTGTGCATTTTGCTCTCTGAGACAATCCTGAAACAAGGACATTTGCTGCTGAGCTTCTAATTCTTTGTTTTTCCTGAGACTTTTATTCCTCAGTATCTCAGTAACCTGGACACATAAAAGGCACTCACAGTCAGGAGAAAGTTTATATCCAAACAACTCATACACAAGACTCACTGAAAGCAAGTGTATTTACAGATTTACCCTAAATCTTTCATTCTCAAAGAATAAAAATCATCCTAAAAAAGCAGACAACACTTGTCATGTTTGAGATACTATTACTGAAAAGATGCAAATGTTAGATAATTCATCCCTATGGTGAATTTTCTAACATTATAAACCTATAAATCTAGCATAATAAATCATACTGGATTCCTCCAATATGAAGCAGAACTTCCAATGGACTGGACATGCCATTAAGAGGACAATGAATAAAACCAGTCTTCTCTGCAAAGCATTTACAGCTCATTACTGAAGATAGTTTTTTCCCTCTCCACATCCCTTCCAATGAAAGGAAAACATTTCCCCCATGAGGGTAACAAAATATGTTTTATTTAGCATATTTTTCTCAATATGTCACTAAAACCAAGGAAGAATATGTAAGACAATATTAGTGCCTTCATCTGTTATCAAAGTTGACATCCATCCACAAGATGCATCGTCTCACTAAACTTAGAATATGCCTGAAATGCTACTTGGAGGCTTGATCATTGTCTTTCAATGGCTTATGGTGCAAATCCAAAACACCTGTTGAGTAGCCTTCACTTTTACCATATTTTGCTTTTGCAACCAGAATTGTAGACACAGAGCAGTATTTTTTGTTATTATACAAAATTTCATTTAGCAGACAGTTTATTTTTCAGGGCATAAGCAACTCGTTTAAAATAATTCCTGGACTTAAAAAGTCTCCATTTTTATTTTTAAAATATTTACACCCCTTTCCCTTCCTATCCAGACTTTTAAGATACCTAATCCCATGTAGAGCAATTCTTATCCTGCAAACCTGAAACAGTTACTGTACAGAAACACTTCTCTTTGGTGTATATTACAAGGCTACAAGGACAGCAAATACATAGGTTGAGAGAGAATGGCCAGTAGAACACCGAGCATCACCAAGAAAGGATAAAGCACTTTTAAAAATACATTTTAAAGCAGTGAAGTGCTGCAGTATATCTCATTATCCAGGGATTAGATCCATGATCAACCCAATGCACTGAAGCAGGCTCCTGTGTGTCACAGAGGCTGCTTGAACCATGTGATTTAAATTTCTTTCTTTGAGCCAAGTCACATTACCTCAGCACAGCAAGTTTCTGTCTAACAGCTGAGATGTCCCAGTTGCCCAAGCAGAAACTCAGACTTCTCTGGTAAAGGACAAATGATCACATGCAAATCCAAATAATATAGCAACAGTTGTGTAAAAGCCACAAACCACTTGTGGTAGGACATTCCCCTACCACAGAAGGGCTTCTCTGTTCTGCCTATCAGCTGGTGCAGTAGCTCAGGAGATCTTCCCCCCTCAAAAGAATTTGCTAATCGTTGAAATATGTCAGGCCAGACATCTGTCTGATACTGAGATATTTCTGGTGCCATGGAGGTGGCATTCCCAGCTGACAATAAATATCTTGCCTTGGGAGAGAGATTGAAGGAAGATAAGCTTGAATTCCTGACTGATAGACACTTTACAAATTATAAAAGCTACACCAAATTTTCATGAGGCAGAAGTCTTCTGCACATTCTATGGAAATGTGTGGGGCTCTTCCCTCAAGCTGAGATGCCACTTTGTGGTTACTCTCCTGGGGGTTGAGTGAAAGCAATCTGTGTACCTCAACATCAGTTTGGTGGTAAGTTCTACTGACTCCTATCTATATAACTTCTTTGACAGCTATAATGTAGGTACCTTTATGTTGTGCACTGTTTTATGTAATCTACTAGTAGTTCTTTGTTTTAACCTGTGTAGTACTGAACTCTGTTTAAAGCCATTTGTGTGTTAATCTTCTGCCTACTCAATAAGTAACTCATTTTGTGATAAACCTGATCTGCAATTCTTAAGAGCTTGCGAGCCAGAGAGGTTTAGGTGTGCCTCACCTGAATTCAAGCTGCTGCCAAAAATCTACACCCAAGGCAGGGCTTGAATAACGCTTTTACTCAGTCCATAACACCACTAACAACATTGTATAAAATTCCCTAACAAGGGCTTAAATTAAGGATAAAAGAAATGCAATTACCTTCAAAACATTATGCAAGCAAGTGGAAAACATGGAGATATTTCCAGGATTTCTCCATAGCAACCAGGAAAAAACCCTGCCTCAAACTGAAATAATTTTGACTGCTGTGCTACAAACTGGACTATGAAGAGCTGCATCATCAGCTCAATGTTTTTACATTCATACTCTAAAGTTGTTCTTGTGGTCTCTGTAAGGACTCACAAATTGGAGGAGAGGCACACCTGATGCAACTGGAGCTGTAAATCATGGATCTGACCAGCCACAGATGAAGCCTCTTCCTGTAGCTCATCCCGGTCTTTCTTGGCCTGTTGAAGGCAGGTTGTTAACTTCCAGATGATTTCATTCTGCTCTTGAACCATTGTTTCCTACAGGGATCAGAAGAAGTGCACTTTTAACATTAAAAGAGTCTTAACATATTTGGAACCAAGTAGGTTTTCTTGAAGCAAAGCCATTACAGTCTGTAGTTACATTTCAGTTTTAACCAACTTGCACTGAAGAAGTCTTTGTGTCCAAAGATGATGGCAGGCATGATGGAAGAGGAGTCTTAAACTGATCTCAGAGATGACAAACCTAACCAAAAGTGATTTTAGAAACAAATTATGGGATGCCAGCAATGAAATGGGTATTTTTACTTCCAAATTTGTAGCTCTTATTGAAGTAAAAAGCAATCAAATTTTCAAAAAGGATATAATGAATATTTAGTACCCCCTAAATTATTTCCTATCTGCCAGCAATTCCCTTCAGTCATGTGAGAGGAAGCTAATGAGATAGGATACATTAATCCTATTTTACATTAATCACATTTATCTTTTCAATTTATTTATCACCAACAGTAAACGTTTTTGTTTCCCCAATCCTAGAATGTGAAAAAGAACAAATAAAGGGGAAAGTAACTAGTCTTAGAAAGCATCTGGTAATAATTTACCTGTACACAGAACTGCTAGAGAAAGGGAATTCAAATTATTATTTAATATTCTGGAAGAGGATGATGCACTACATGTACTCACTAAGTACTTCTCATTAAAAAACAATAGGTTTTTGAGTTCTGTGTTCTAAATATTCTTAGGATTAAAATATGATAGTGTTATCCCAATACCCAATTCTGTGAAACATCATACCTGAAGCTGCATAGAATCGTTGTGCTGGGTGACTTGGTCCTGCAGCTCCTCCATCTGTACAGTGAGCCTTTCCACTGCTCCTTGTTTCTCAAGCAGTCTGCTCTCCAGCTCAGCTATCCTCACCTGACACATCTGAGCATCAGCCTCGCTGTATTCTGCAGCAGAATTTATCCTATCTTTCTTCATTAAAAAAAAAAAAACAGAAAGGCATTTATTCACTAAAAATACAATTTCTGATTTGTGATTAGTCTGAAAACAAATTCAGTTTCAATGTTAAGTCCTGGGCAAATTCTACTTTAAAAGTAACCCAACACTGGGACTTTGTACCTAATAGAAACATTACCTACATAAAGTTCTTAATGCCTAAAAATTTCAAATTAAAAATTATCATAGATAATAAATTTTCATGATAGTTTAAAGCACAAAAGTAAAGTAAGAGTGTTGATTCTATAGCACAGTGAATAAGGAAACAGAATGCTACCAATTTAAACAAACCTTTTACATCCATCTGACCAGAGAACAGTCCACGAGAAGCAACAATGTAAAGCTCTTCAATTACAATGAAAATTCTGTGGTTTCTTAGGAGCAACATTGTTGCAATCATCACAGAGGATACAGTAGCTTGAATTTTATTTTGAATACTTTTGGTTGTATTGTTTGAAACAATGACAAAGGAACTGATGTATCAACTGGAAACATTAGAAACATTCAAATTTCTCTGGGCAAAGTCTATGATTTTACAAAACTCAATTTTCTTAGCAACCAGTTTGCACAGCCAGTACATGTACATATAGAGAAATGCCCGTTTTGTACCATAAAATAGTGAAATCGCATCCGTTTTATCCTATTTGATAACAATGTTTAATTAATCATTTTAGCCACCAATTATCACAGCCTTCTTTCAGCTCTATCCAGCACAAAGATACACCCTTTCACACTTACTTGAGTTGCATGATCATCCAGTGGCTCCCAGCTAGACAAATCAGTGCTGCCCTGGTAAATAAACAAATCAACACTAAATCATAACTATTTTAAATAAAAATAAGGAAAAACAGAATTATTTTGGAAAAACCTTGAGCATGAGCCAGGAAGGTCTGTGTTGTGAGAGACTGACTTTATGTTAAATCCAGCTGGTCTTTCATGGTGAAATGAACTAAACTACAAAAAAATAAACAAACGAAAGTATTATAATGTCTACTTAAATTTAGGGCTAAGCCTCAACACTAATTCAATACTTGATCCTCTGCTGTTGTAGCTGGCAAATATGTGAGCAATCTTTAATCTACTACTAAAGATTAGCACACTGACAGGAGATTATTTAACAAACATACTGAAACCATTCAGGTAATCACAAAAGCAACATCTTTTTCTGACACACAGATTTAACATAGCTTGATACCTTGAAAGAGGTTTCCCTCTCACTAAATTCACAAGACCAAGATGACTATTGCATTATTTGGAAAAGGCAGCCCACAGATCACCCTGCATTTTGAGTCTGCTTGAAGTAGTTCCCAATGATTATTACCTCCCTGGAGGTATCCTCTCCAGGTAACCTAGAATTCCAGTTGCTTCACAAACCAGCTATTTTGAAAAAAGCTGCTTAGTAGCAATAAGTGATTTTTGCTTGCTTTTTTAAATTTAAGCTCACATGAATGTAGAAGGGACATGGCTTTGGCTGAGTGACAAAACACTACATTTTCCCTCAGTGCAGACACTCATGTGCAGCTTCATAAAAGCCTTTGCAATACTAACATTATGTTGAAGATATCCTGAAAGCATCAGGGATACCCTCACAACAGAAAGCGGGATAACACACACAAATTTTATGTCCCATCATTGCAGGTTTGCAAACACGTTAGAGTTTGATGCTATTGTGGTATGTTGTGAAAATACACCAACATCTAGAGATGCTTTTGGTGCAGAAGGCACCAGCTCCCCAAAATTTCTTTCACAGAGAACATGACTATCTTCAGAGAGTCATCAGTATATATATATATACCGAAATACACCAGACACAACCAAAGTCACATCTTAAACAAATCTGTGGAAATTACATCTATGCTAGCTTTAAAATGGCTATTAAGAGCTTGCTGGAATAAAATAGTTTTTCAGAAAACACTAAGAATATTTGAGCCAGTCAAGTGATACAAAACCAAATTAATGGTGCGCCTGACTTCACAGCCACATAACCCTAAAGTCTGCCCAAAGAGAAGTCATGACAGTGAAATACTTTAATTTAGGAGGTTAACAGCTCCCTGGCAACAACAGCTGCCCAGGCCATACCATGGAGATGTCTTACTCAGCAAATGAGATCACTTTGTGAGAGAGTGAACTATTACAAGTGAAGATAACACCAGTTCACTTACCTCCCAAGTTTGTGAGAGAGTGAACTATTACAAGTGAAGATAACACCAGTTCACTTACCTCCCAAGGTCAGCTGGTGGCCAGTGCCAGTGAGCTAACACTCAATCGAGTAAAACAACCACCTGAACACTTGTTACCTACAGATGGAGCAGAGCAAAGGCAAGAAATACTGAAATTTACCTGTGCCTCTGTCGTTGCCTCTGGCAGGTTGGTGTCTTCAGCCTGACCCTCTACACACTTCCCAGCATCTCTGGCTGCTACTGGGTGCTCTTCCTTCGGAAGGTCATGCGTGTGGACAGCCGAGCCCTTCCTCTTCGCCGCCTTTTTCTGCGACTGCGTGATGTCACCCTTTGCTTTTCGCTGTCTGAAGTAAGCAAACTGTTCAGGAAAGATTGCAAGAGGTACAGGGAGAGGTAAGCAAGGAAAAAGTAGCAGAACCACAAGATTAACACAGTCATGGGTGACAGAGCTCCTGTCTTGATAAAATATGTACATCTGCAGAAAAACTTCTTTATCTGCCTACTATCACAACATACTGGATAACTGTGCCCTTAAGCAACAAATCTCACACCAGCACTAAAGGCTCATTTCCACACAAGAATCAAAGTTTTACTCAGTGAAACTTTGTGCGTCAATGATAATCCAGAATTACAGCAAGACAAATTAATAAAGGAATGAGTTGTCAATATACTAGAAGCATTAGGAAAAAATAATAATTGAGCAGTCTTTCTGTAAGACCAGCCAAACCAAGAACCCTCTTGTCATGGTGCCAGAACCAGCACACCCCTACAAATACATCTAAACAGGTCTTAGCCAGCGTAAGCTTTGAGATGAGGATTCACTTCCGTTAATTTTAATGCTCCTTCCCTGCCACCCCCTTAAGAGAACACAGCAAAACTTCCTCGCCAGAAAGCAGCCTCCAGTACATAAATAGAAAATCAATTAAGCCAGGTCATTTTAATTTCTTCTGTTGAAGAATCAGATGCTCTACTTTATCAGGCTATCACAGCTATGCAAAGCCCCAGGGACTTGTAAAGAATGTCACTGACAATTTATTACCCAACTCACCCTAAACAGCTTGAAAAGGATTATTGTTATTTTCAAGTCTAGTACAGTGTTTAGGCACCATTTCCAAATAGCATCTCCCCCAGAGAAGAAATCCAGACATCCTTCTCATAAGGAAAAAGTCTTCTTCAAGTTTTAAACCACATGTTAACAAGTTTAGTGTTATATCCTTGTGATGAGGATACAGATAGTTAACTGCAGATGACTGAATGTAAACACCACTGCCAAGCTGTACCGGCAAAACATATGAAAATCCACTGTTTGACAGCTTGGTTTTCCTGTCAGCCACCTTGCAGAAAAACCTTGTCCCATTCTTCTCATTCAGATTGTGAAAAGGATCTAGTTCAGTCCCCTCTCCTTACAGGAACTTCTACCTGACAGCTTACCAACTCAACAGGTGCACAGTTGCACATCTGCTACACCCAGCAGCCTGTTTAAAAGGTATATTTGCAGAAAGACATCAACTTCTTAACAGCTGATATAATTTTGATGTACAAAAAACTTATTTTTTAAGACCACCTTCTGTAATTTCTAGTTAGTTATACTGAAGTGCAGATTAAATGAAGATTGCCAGGCTTGTGCCTTTCATAATAAGCAGAATGAACAGACCATAAAGCTGCAGTGAGACACAAATACCATCCTGTGAAACCAGGTGTCAACTCCAGCACTTACTGATGGCAATGTATGTCAAAAATAGCTACAGCACTAATTAACCTGATAACATGGGGAAACAGGGCAGGAGGAAGCATGCAGAAAAATGGAGAGTAGAGGAAACTGCTGAAGCAGGGAAAAAGGGAAAACAGGAGTAAAACAAGCAGAAAAAATTAAAGGCAGAGAGAGTGGGTATTACAGAGAGCAGTTACTGATTAATGAAGGGAGAACCAGAGACTGGTTCATGGCTGAACACCAAAACAGTATAAATTTTCAGATGCACAGGTAAAGAAAACAGAACTTACTTTGTGCTATTCACATGCACTAAACATATAAAATCATAATATATACCATGCAAAAATATCTAACTACACCAAAATTTTATGGAACTACTGGACTTGGTGGAGTGGCTGGATTTAAACATGCTCCAGATTTATGGGAAAAGTTCTATTTAGAACAATACCCAGTTTTCATGTGAGAGAATCTCAAATTCACAAGCAGCCATCCAACACGAAGTAGTGAGTATGAATGTAAAGAAAGCAAAACATAATTGCCTCTGCCTCATCACAGTGAGATCCCATCGTGCCTGTTTTGAATTAACCCTCCTTTTGCTTTCTAGAAGCACATGCAAAGGTGAAAGCTTCACTTTTAGCCAAGATTGCAACAGGAACCCTGAGAGCATTGTCCTCCACAGCATTCCAAGCAGCTGTTGTAACATAAGAACACCTTCCTACAGGTACCAATGCAGTGCAACTTCATTGCACCAGGACCAAACAGTTAAAAGTTGATGTAATACTTTATGTGCTTCAGAAATTAGTACCAAAACCAACACCCAGAGAAAACGGAACAGAGCAGAAAACAACATCAGCACCAAACAGAAACAGGTTGTTCAAACAAACATTAGTCTAGTTCTTGGATACAGCAAACATAAGCAATAAGTGTTCTTAGACAAAACCAAGAAATAGTTTCTAGACCTTCCTCAAAATGACGAGGTGGGAGTACTTCCTGGAAAACCTGAACTCATTTTTCAGGTCCTAAGTGTAAAATGGAAGAGGAGAAAAACTTCCCACACCCGAGGTACGGCACAGAAACCTCTGCAACTAGAGGTACAGGTGGTCAACATGCAGATTAATTAATATGAGGTAGAAAAAAACAAGGAGAAAAAAGCAGTAGTTAAGCTTGTTCTGTTTCTCAATTACTACTCTGGCTATCAGTATTGCACTTGTTGGAAGCAGCAATCTGAGGTACCTGATACAGTCAGTACTCAGCTGCCAATCACAGTCTCCAATAAATACAACAGTTGGCATTATCATTATTATTAGGTGATAACTTAAATGCATCTCAATAATGGAATGCTTATTCCTATATGGAAAAGAATAATGCAAGTATGGTTTGAAAAGATTTAGATCATGTTTCTTTGGAAAGTCATTGCTTAGCAGACTAAAATCTAAGGATGCTAAAGATAAAATAATTCATTTTGTGGAAGGTGGCAGTTAGACAAAAAGCCCTCAAGAGTTGACACCTTCAGACTGAGGCAGTATCAAACTGCAGTTACATCACTGCACAGGTTGCTACAACAGAGGCCTCTCACATGGAATCAGCCTCAATCCTGTCCCCTGCTGTCAGGAGTGCCTGTAGAGATGTGTGGAGATGGTTTAGAAAGCTGATCTGGTGGACACTGAACATTTCTGTGTCAGACCAAAGATGAGATCACCCTAAGCTGCTCTCGGCTGCACCACAGGAAGGAGAACCTGTACTTGCTCATGGTTCTTCCTCCCTTTCAAAACTGTGCTGTATCCATGAGGAGGAGAGCACCAAGAAAACTAGAAAAAAGAAAAGCAGAAGAATAAAAAAGGGGAAATGTCACCTGGGTGCTTTTTGGAATCTGCCAGCCAACGAATAGATCTCTGTGACATTTTAATCAGCAGAGGAAGCACCACATTTATCTCTGTCCCTCTAAAACTCTTCCTCTCCTCTCAGAATACCATATGACACCATGTAGCAGCAACACTGATGGGACTGCTAATGATATATTTTTTTTTAAATGGGAAGAGAGATTTAGTACACAGTATAGAAAAGCAGTAAATGCAACACTGGGTCTGCAGGTGTAACTTGAAACATAAGTCCCTGCTTTTTTTTTAATGGCAAACAACAATTTTCCAACAGGTGTGAGTTAATAACTTATTCAAGCTAGGTCTGTCACATTTTTCTAATGAGAAACAGGTCCTGCACCTGGAATTATGCTAACAGAAGTGTTAACACAGGTTGTGCCACACTAAGGTAAACTGTCAGCCTTAAGAACTCCTGCTCTCAGAGTTCTTTCTCTTGAGCTAATGATACAGCTGTTCTCCAGTACAGGATTGTGTTCTCACAGCACAGGACAAGGCTGGGAAGGCAGGCACATGAGAAAGTGCTGAGCAGGAACAGGCAGTGTGGAATCCATGGCAGCATCAGGGAGGGCCAGGCCAGCGATGGAGGAGCTGTACTGCCCACCACGAGGCTGCAGCTTCAGCACAGCACCAGCTACAAACTTGCTCCCTTCCAGAAAAGCTCCCTGGTTTCCTTGTACACAGCACTAGCATGAATTAGCTGAAACAGAAACACAGCAGATAGACAGGACAGCTCCAAGCCACCTCTGACCCCACTAGCCAGATATCCAGACAGGTTCCCTGCAGAAAGGGCAGGATCTGGAAAGATCTGATGGGTCCAAACTTCCCACGACCCTGTGCAGCCTCAGCTATCCCTGTCCAGCTATAGCATCCATTCCAGTCCTACTGGAATGCTGAGAACTAGAAAGCCTTATTTAGCAGGGCCTGCCAGAAGGAAAGTATGACAAAACCAGCTCAAAACCCAGCAGAAACGCTAAACTAAAAGGAAAGTAACCAGGTATTTCCAACCAGCTCCTTGAACATTATTAATAAAACAAAGCAGAAGTTTTTATCTAACAGGATTAGAACACAACCAGCATTAAACACATGGTTGTAAGTAATAATTACTTGGAGAATGCTATCTTTATATAGGCTCATCCTGTGAGCACTACAGAAGTCCTTAAACTACACACAAGTGAAGACTTTTTTAAATGTTCAAAGCTTATGATGTGTTTTCCACCGGCGTGACTGGAAACCAACAAACCGAGCCCAGCTCTCTGCTAACCCACCTGCAGACACACAAGCAAGCCAGCGGAATAATAAAATAACACCCGTTCTTTGGGATCCTCAGCTGGAAATGCACTATTCCCACCAACACTGAATCCTAGGCAAAAATGGGATCCTTCCAAAAATCCTTCCCTAGTTAGGAAGGAAAAAGAAGCCAAACAAAGAAAAGAGAGCTTGAGGGACGGTATATGCACTGCTGTCAGCTGCTCTGTGCCTACCCCAGGTAATGTTTCAATGCCTGTGTAGCAGGATGGGGGCCCCGCAGGCAGCCTGCACGCACAAACACCTCCGGGCACGACTTTTCCTGCGGAGCCATGGTGCCAGGGAAGCCCCGGCCTCTGTGGACAGTCCCGGGCCGGCAGCAGACCCCGGTCCCGCCGCTGCCCAACCCCACGGAGGGGAGAGACCGGGGGCGATCTGAGGCGAAGCCGCCCCCCGGCCTGCCAGCCCTCTCAGCGCACAGAGACCGGGGCGGGCGCAGCCTCCGCCTAGCGGAGACCCCTTCCCCTCACCTTGGCCCTGCCAGCCTCCAGCTTGCGCCTTCGCGCCTCCTCCTGCGCGTCCATGCGGCGGCCGGGGCGGTTCGNCCAGAGCTCCTGACGCTCCGCGGCCGTCGACCAATGGCGACAGCGTATCTCAGCCGGGCTCCGCCCACTCCCGCTAAATGGCTGCTGGGATACCCCGGGCAAGCCGGCGCGAGCCCCCGGCCCCGCCCCTTCCGCGGCAGCCACAAATGGGAGAGTCCCGCGCCATTTCAAAAGGGCCGCCGGCCCCGCCCAGCGCGGGAGACAGCCAATGGGAAGCGCGGATGTGAGGGCAGCCAATGGAGGCGCGGCTGACGGCAGCCAATGGAGGCGCGGCTGGCGGCAGCCAATAGGATGAGGGGAAGGGTTGGTGGTTCCCTTCCCGCCTTTTGGCTTGTTTGTAAGTCTTGTAGCGAAGGAATAAATTAACGTTCATTGCTTCTGAGTTGCATGATTCTCTTCAGTAATCAGTATGCTATCGTCTATTGCTTATTGGTCTCTCGTTCTTCGTGCTAATTTGGTCGGCATTCTTTGAACCCTCTATCGTCATTTACTCGGAGATGGAGTCTTCGGCTGTCCAGGCCTTAATCCCCTCTGGACTCTTCTGGTTACTCCAACGTCTTGAAGGGCCATAAGATCCCCGATGTCCAATCTTCAACTCCTTTTTTACTCTGCTTGTTGAAGCTACAAAATTGGTGGCTTCTTTGTGTTTAGAAATCATTAAGTTATAAATTTAATATATCTTTTAAATATAAGTATATAAATATAAATTTATAAGTAATATTATAAAAATGCAGTCAAATCTGTTAGGGCAGTGTGCTGGATTGGCAAGCATTTAAAAGCATTAAAAAGCATTAAAAAGCCCATTGCAGAGGTTTGTGGGGCGCAGTATTTTTGGCTTTCCTCTTCACAAATGATTTTTTCTCAGGAAGAGTGGAAGTTTCTGCGAGCAAACCACACTCGTGCTAGATCTGACAGGGAAGAAGATGGGTGCTCGTGTTTTTACAAACAATTCTGAGGGTGAAGGTGAGGGTGTCAAAGTCTTTGAAGTGTCTTCATGTCTCTACTAACTTCAGGCAGCAGGTTGGTTGCAGAGCCCACTCTTGAAACAGCCAAGGGTCTGCACAAGGCTGAACTTTTGAACTTTGGGGTAAATAATTTTTTTTTCCTGGTAGTACTGTCATGCTGTCTGATTTCTTAGCCAGGATTCTGAGATTGCCTGCAGTCATTACCAAAAGACAAAGACTGAATTATGGAATGTCTTAGTGAGCACCTCCCAGGATCAGGCAGCCACAACCTTTCTGGGGAAACCGTTCCAGGGCTTCACAGAGAAGAATGTTTTCCTAATACCCAATCTAAACCCGCTCTCTGTCAGTGGGAAGTCATTTCCCCTTGTCCTGCCACTCCAGGCCCCTGTAAATTGTCCCTCTCCATCTTTCTTGTAGGCTCCCTTCAGACACTGGAAGGCCACAGTTGGGTCACCCTAAAGTTTCTCTTTTCCAGGCTGATCCATCCAAATTCTCTCAGCCTTTCCTCACAGCAGAGTTGCTCCACCCCTCTAATAATTATTATCATAATATCTTTTAAAATTGTCTTTTTGAACTCACAGAAATGAAAATTAAGGATATAAAATATCAGAATCAATAAAAGACATCAAAGAAATGCAATATTGGTACGGACCTCATCAGGTTATCTAATCCTTTTTTGTATCTTAGGAGTCCTACAATGGTTCAACACATTTGATTTTTTAATTTTTCCTAAACAACTTCTGTGAAAGTTTTTTTTGTCTAATAGCTGCTCCATCATTTCCCTTAGTGGCTAATGAAGATTTCTTTCCCCATTTTTATCAGGCTTTCTCTTCCTCATTAAGCCAAATGCCTGTGTTTTTCCAGATGGAACTCCCCCACTCCACCCCGTTCTTTGATTGCATCCTCTCATTTATTAAAAAAATTTTGGCCTGTCCTCTTCTCACCAGCTACTTACTAATTAAACAAAGCCAGTTCTTTAAAGTCCTCCTTAGAACCTTCCTTTTTGTAAATGCATCCTTTCTATTTTTTTTTTTTTGTCCTGGACTTACTTTCCTTCTTAAACCACCATGTCTAAAAATAAGCAGTGTCCAAACTCTGACTTCAGCACTGCTAAATAGAGCAGAATAATTATGTCCTGTGAGGTGCATGTAACACACCTGTTATTCCTCTGCAGGATTAAATTTGTCTGGTTTTGCTCTTTTGAATCCTCATTCTCAAGCGTGATCCCTTATTTGGGATTCAGTGTAGCTACAGATCCCTTTCAGCGAGATCTTGTGTGTGGCTGGCACATTTCTGGCACCCCATTAATCAGCAGGTTGTAAGATGTCCCAAGAGTAAGGATCACACTGTAACCAAGGCATCCATAAGTGTGGGAAGAGAGAGATCCTTTAGCAGCTTTGCTGGAAAGCTTTTTGCTTTTTCTGCCTTTTTTATCTTTATTTTTTCCTCCTAGTATTGGATTTTCTCTGGGATACCTGTCGCATCAAGCAAGAATTTCTCATCATTTCCTCTTTAGTAAATTCAGTTGCTTAACACTGGTGCTGTACTTTTAATGGAATGCTTATAGCTGGTTCTTTTTGTCAAACTTACTTGTAACCCTCTATTTGTACTGCAAAGAAGGCTCTAGAAATTTAATTTTTAGGGGCACTGTACTAAATCAGTTGATGGTAAAATAATCAGCTCAATATTCACAAACAATCAAAAAGGGGTAGGTTTCTTTCCCAGCACAGAAGCAAACTATAATGATGCATTTTACTGACATTACTAGGCTCATGCTTATGGTTAAGGTAACTAGGAAGCTCCTTGCCAAACACTGTTGCAGCTGCTTGGATGAAGGTCTCAAAGATGTCAGAGAAAAATCCTGTTGGGGTTTTAAAGTACAGAAATGGACTTTAATGAGTTGTTTCCCAGGAGAACTGCTGGCAGGTGAGAGGATTTTCTGTCCTGGCTTGTCACTCCTGCCATTCACCACAGAGCCCTGCCAGAGGAAGCTGAACCCCAGCTCTGACAGCTGTTTTAGGGATCCCTGCACCTTAGTTTCCCTAATTTCTCCATCTCTGAGCTGCCAGCACTGGCTCTGCTGCAGTTTTGCTGTGACCTCTGAGTGAGGAAGGCGTTGTAACTTATCTCTCCTGGGAGCAGAACTGGCCTTAAAATATGATACTGAGGAGTGTCTGTTACTTGACTTTTTTTCTCTTGCCTTGCTGTTCATTTTATGGATGTCACTGATAAATGTTACCCTGTTTTGATGCTGGTGGGGCTTTGCTGGGAGAGGGAGACACTCTACAGGTTTCTTGGGAGATGGTAGCCAAAAGGATGTTACACCATAACCTCTTTGCTCTTGAACTTTCCCAGGGGTGAGTTCCAGCTATGCTCCTTCATTTTTTTAGTTACTGCGTGGTAATAACTCATGTAAAGGGCTTTGTCAAAAGTGTGCAGACCCCTTATAGTGGAATAAACAGGCACCAGTCAGCAAGATCATAATCTGACCGCTGGCACTGGGCTTGTTTTAAAGAACCATTGGCTTTTATTTCTTGTTTTCTTGTCCACTAATGTGCCAGGCATTTGCCTTACCAAAGTTACACAAGCTTCTGTGCCTGGAGATTAAATTATTTATGTTATGTATTGACATTACAAACTATAGCAACCAGGTTACAGGCACAAAGCTCTGAGCTAATTAGAAGGCTCTAACAACACAGATGCCAGGCATAGCGATGCTGCCAGGGGAAGGATAGCAACCATTAGGAACAGACAAATAAATATTCAGTCTCAGTTACCTTCCTGTGAGCAACCTGCAGCACAAAAGTATGTTGAGAGAAATGGCAGGAAAAGCTGTGTCTGTGATGTTGTGAACGCCTGTACTCATTTTTACCTGGGAGTGAAACTGAAGCTTTTATCTGCTTGTCTCAATTTCTACTCTTCTTGTATTACTGTCTTTTAATAATGGAATTATTCTGTGAAGACTGTGGAGGGAAAAAAAATGAGCACTGAAAAACTATCTGCCCCTGTTTAGATTTTTAACATGTTTTTACCTGCCTGCTCTTCCAGGAGATAATGGCAGATCCTTCAGTGGTGGACCACCTGACACGACTGAAACTCAAACTCCTAGAAAAGGTAAGAGAAACTCCTAGAAAAAGTAAGAGTTCTGCAGTGTTTGTTCTGCCTTTTGCTCTTGCATGTTTAAGCATTAACAGTGTATTTTAAAACAGTATGACTCTACTGAGATACACTGAGGAGTGGTAATATTTACTGTTACTTTCTTAACTGACATTGTACAAGTTTACATGGAGCTACAGTAAATAAAATTGACTTTGATTTTATGGGAGATGTCACCAGTTAGCTCAAAGCCAGTTTGAGCTGGGACAGGCAAAGTTTAGGAGTAAATTTTGGGTAAAGAGAGTCTCAGATTGTTTTAAGGCAGTATCATAGCTGTTTTCACATAAGATGTGTTTCCTGGTCACACCTTTGCTGAATCAAAAGTCCAGATCTTGGACTATCAGGCAAGCCCAAACTGAACATTATCAAGTTCTTCATATGATGCAGCTCTCTGCCCTACAAAATAAATTATGTATATGTCTCCTGATTCACCATGCTATCAATTTTAAGGTCTGGAATAGCCTGGGCAGCTGGAAACATGACTATTCATTACTGTAACTAGATTTGTAATGAGACATTTCATACTTTTTTAAGAACCACCATTTTTCTCCACTTCTGCTCTATTTCCTCCATCCCAAGCTCATGCCATAGGCCTCTAAATCCCTGTGAGCTTTTCTGCCTGACTTATAACCAGTCCTGGTTATGGTTCTGCCCACAGAGACTAGAAAATGAACAGGAGAACCTAGAGAAGATGGAGATGTCTCTCCCAGCAGCAAGTAAGAGAAGCATTTGTTCTAATTATAGGCCTATTTTGGAAAGGGCTTGCTTATGTTATCAGGCATGAGTTCCTCAGGAGATGATCCCCTCTCCTCCCTAAGAGCTGTGAGCTAACTGCTTTTTATCTTTTGAATTTCTTCAGCTGTTTTTTTCCTGACCAAGGGAAGTGAACAACCAGCTGAGCACTAACATAAGATGACTTCCTGGCTGCAGGTATCCTCTGCAGCCTCTCCAGCTGGCTGAAGATCTGATGGTGATCCAGTTTGTCCTAGCTCCTACACCTAGGAGTGAGCCCCTGTTGTAGTCCAGCTGTTTGCTTGGCTTTGGTGATTCTGAAAAGGCAGGAGGAACACTTCATTTCTTTGCATGGCACATGCACTGTTTATATTATTTATGGATTCAAGGCTATACCAGTAAAAGCTCAGTGATATTTCTAAATTGTACTGTGGATTCATCGATCTGATGCACAAATAGCTGGAGTCTTCTAATACTGTGGCCAAAATTTTTTAAAAATCCCCTATAACAACTTACAGTTTCAAAATATGAAATGGTGCTTTCCAGAGCAGACACCAAGCATGCCTCCAAAGTACCTGAAAACACTCTTGCTAATCTTCATTTCAAGAGAGTTCAAAATCAGCCATGTGTGGGATGAACTGAACAGGAAGTTGATTCAGAACAAAATAGAAACAGAAAAGTTGACATTCAAACTGTAGTTTGTTTGAGCTGTTACTACAGACAGTCATCCTCTGCATGCACAGGGTACATCCAGAAACTTTCAGCCTAAAACCGATTCCTAAACCAGGAGGTTCAAAGGAGGCTTCAGAGAGCAATCTAAAGAGTTTTTTTTAAGAGGTGTTTTACCTTTGTAGAGCTGCTGAGCAGCTGTGACTGCACATGCATAAAGTCATTTTCCATACATGTATTTGACAAGAAACAGCCTTTTCCACAAGCCTCTTGTGGAAGAACTCAAGCTGTTAAAGCAGGGCAACACAGAGTCCTCAGGCAGGTGAAGAGGGGAGCAGGTGAAGGTTTTTTTTATTGCAAAAACCAGGCCTTTTAGAGCATTTAGGCCTTCACCAGTTAAATAGTTTTAAATCACAACAAGCATAATCCAGCCAATCACCATACACCACGATGTGAGCACACAATGGTTATATAACTTGTTTTTCTGCCTCTAATTCAGCTGAGTCACTTTCCCATAGCCCTTTTCTGCTTAGCCAAAGTAGCAGGCCTGAACCATGGTTTTACATGGGTAACAAGGCCCTTATTTTATTATTATTTATTTATTATTATTATTAAGGCTTTACCTATATGCAACATTAAGCTATCTAATAACACATTTTCCACATTAATATTGTAATACAGGTGCTGTAATAGCTCTGTCTTTGTGATCCTTTGGGAAGATAATGGACTTTTCCTCTTGCAGGGAACAGACCTCAGGACATGCTCCAAAGTGCCCTGAGGCAAAGGAAAGATCTGCTGCAGGAGCTTAGGGTAAGAGCCCTCTCTGACCAGAAGTAACAGAGCCCAGTGGCCTGTACATCCACTGCTGATGTGGATTCAGTGTTTTACTGTCCTTTAGTTCTGGGGCTGGGCAGGATTTAGTGCTCTGCTGCTTTAGAATATATTATTATTATTATTATTATTATTATTATTGTTGTTGTTGTTGTTGTTATTAATAATAATAAGTGTATATCTATCTATCTATCTAAATAATATTATAATATATATTATATTATATATAATATATATTTATATAGATATAGATATATTTATTTTTATATATCTAAATACAAATATATCTAAATAATATTATAATATATAATAATATATAATATATATTTTAATATATATAGATATAATATATTTTTATATATCTATATCTCTATATCTATCTATCTATCTATATATACACATATATATATATAAAATATGCTTTGGGCCAGCTAATTGGGGAGAGCCTGGGGAGCAGCTTGGCTGCCCTCACTACAGCTCTTGGAGCTTGCACCTGCCTCAGGTACTACAGGGGGATGATTCTGTTTCTCCTGAACTGCTGTTCCATAAACTTTCTATGCCAAAATGCAAAGAAGGGATTTTTAGCGATGCCAAAGTAGAGACAATAGTAATTGTTATTTATTCCTAGTTTGTGGAGGATACCAACTATTACTGAAATGTTTTGCCAGACTTTTGGCAGCTTGTTCTGCACTTTGTTTTTTTCCCCCCAATCCTTTTTGCTTATGCTTTATACTTACACAGGCACTGCTCTTGATGCACTAAGAGGCTAATCCCATTTAATCCAGAGAGCATAACCATTCTCTCTGCTGTGCTGTGACCAGATTTTCTTCAGGAAAATACTTGACTTTGCAGGAGCAGCACCTTCTGGAAGAGCTTTCACAGCCACCTGCACCAGCTGGGGGACACTGCCATGACCACAGAGCTGCCCTCCCACAAGTCTACCAGATCCCTTTTCCAGCTTCCCAAGTAGAGCCACCAAGGATTATCCAGCAGGCAGTAAGGATTGTCTCCTAGAAAACACCACTAGCACTGTGCCAGTCTGAGCTGACAATCATTTGGGAGCTGCATGGAATTTGCTCAGCCCACAAAAAGGGAAGATACATCTCTTGCTCATTTATGGGATTTTATGGGACCCTTGCTGCCTGCAGCAAAACCTAAGGGGAAATCATCTTACAGATAAGGCCCAAAATTAACAATAGGAATGGTTTACCCTTGGAACAAGATGGCAGAAGGAGTGGCAGAGCTGCCCACACTCCAGCCTGGCCATTCAGCCACTTTCTAATACAATCAGTCTGCTCATGCAGCCCACAACCTCCACAGCTTCTCCACGAGAATCCCAGGGTTTTCCTGAAGCCTAGGCAGATGACAGCTCTTCCCATAGATAGACCAGCTGGCCAAATCCAACCCTGACTTCTCCCCTTTCCTTCCTGTTCCAGATGCCAACTCAGCCTGCCACCATCATCCAGCAGTTGCCCCAGCCATCCCCTCTGGTCACACAGGTTCTGCCAGCCCAGCCCTCTGCAGCCCCCAGCCCTGGGAGCATTAAAGAAGGTAACAAATTCTCCATATAGCAGCCAGCTCCTGTCACTAGGCCTGCAGAGGGGCAGGGCAGGTGGCAGGTGGAAGGGGACATGGGATAGTGGCCAAGCTAGTTAGTGATGTGCTGTTTAATGAGCTGGTGGAGCTTTGGGAGTTGTGCTTCATAAGTGGGATGGGTACCAGTTGTGAAAGGCATTAAGGCAAACTATTATCACTAAAACTAAAGAAAGAGGAACTACAAACTCAAGGGAAGATTGGGAAAGCAAAACAGCTCAGCTCATGAGTAATCAACTCATGGCACTGAGTAATATTAACAAAGTCAACCCCATGCACTTGGATGATTCCAGAATTAGCAAACAGGCTTTTAATATCTGGTTTTATTCTTTTGTTCCTTCCTAACCGGCTGTTCAATCTCCTCAGGCTTTTATTTGTACTCTGTGTTTGGAAACAAGACAGAGCATCTGAAAGTGTTGTTCTAAATATAGTGCAATGCCAATAAAAGAGTTTGTTTCTAAACATAGATGGGTGCTACTGTGAAGTAATACATGAACTAAAACCTGGGACAATTTCCCTGTCTCAGCCTTCAGCCAAAGGTTCATCCCACACAGGAATCCTCAGTCATGAAACAGCAGTATTTCTCAGCTCACACTTCATCTAAGTGTCTGGATTTTTGAATCAGAGTTTATTTCCATAACCAAAATAGTCCAAATCCACTCATGACTTCTCTGAAGCTGCTCCATGTAAACTACTTCTTGTATGATCAGAAAAAAGGAAAATGAGAGTTGCCTTCATTGCTTTTTCTCTTCTTTTTTTCCTCACCTGCCCTTTTTCACTTCTCCCAAAGGAAATTAGTTACACTGCACAAGTCCTTTGGATCCCAGAGATCATGTAAGGAGATTTGGTGTGCATGAAATGACAGATTAAGGGTTGGACTTGATGATGTTAAAGGTCTTTTCCAACCTTTACAATTCTATGAAGCTGTGGACTCTCAAGGTGGCAGTGCAATATCACATAAATTTGAGGAAACCTCTCACATGGAAAGCAGCGATCTGGGGCTGAAGCAATGGAGAGCACAGTCAGGAGCCTGTCCATGCTGGAGTAAGGGAAAGCTGCATCTCTTCTCCATCCTGCCATCCAGCATAGGTGGGGGTGTGGGCTTGCAGGGCAGGCGACAGACAAGATACTCAGCAGCAGCTTTCTTGTAGAAGGGAGGAGAAACAGGAAAGCTGGTATGAACAATCCCATTCACAAACATTAACTTTGCATTTTCTGGGGAAATATTGCCAATATTCTTCATGTGCCTGCTGCTCTGCCTTTGTTGCAGTGACCAGTCTGTGTGCTGGAGGGCACTCCTTGCCATGAGGCCTCTGCTGCTCGGCAGCTGTGGATAAAGCTCTTACTCTGCTTTTCTCTTCCCAGATATGGTGGAGATGATGCTGATCCAGAATGCTCAGATGCACCAGATCATGATGCAAAACATGATGCTGAAGGCTCTGCCACCAACGGTGCTCACACAGCTTGGGGGGGCCAGCTCTGCCCTGCCCCAGCACACGCAGCAGGTAACAATCCCCCAGCCTGAAGGGCATCCTTGCCCACACCAGGCAATGGCTCATCTCCCTGAGTGGGAACAAGGCCTGGACACAGCACACAAAGGGCTGGGAGAGCCAGGGGACTGTGGAGGACACTGAACCTTAGGAAAGATGACAGAGGAAGAGCATGCCCTGATGCCCACCTTCCTCTCCAGGCCATCCTGTCATTCTGCATTTCCCTGACATTGACTAATGGAGTAAATTGGAGGGAGCGGGGTCTGAATATCAGGTGAAATCTGAAGTCACCAAATGTTCTTGGACCTTCTTTACTGGAACCTGCAGACTCTTCTCCAGACACATCCCAAAGGCCTTCCTTTCCCAAGGGGTGGCTGAGTGGAACCCTGACCCCTCAGCTAGGGACCCCCCCTCCGTGGGGACACAGGTTTCTGCAGCCACCCTTTGTCTCTCTCCACCAAGGACCTGCAGCTCGCTGCTCCCCTGGCCATGAAAGCAGACAGGCCCAAGCCACCTGTGGTGCACCACCACCACCATTACCCTCCCACAGAGGTGTTCCCAGTGACCCCCAGAGGTTTCCTGTCCACATCCCCAGCCCAGCACTGGACTGCAAGCTCTGCCCAGCCTATGTAAGTAAGCAGGCAGCTGTGAAGTGCACTTCACAGTTTCTCCCTGCCCAGGAGGGGTGGCAAGGCAGATTGTGAAATAAACGTGGGGATCTGACAAGGATGAAGATCACACAGATCCCCCCACCCTGCCATGCTGCATTGCTTTGCTCTGCAGGGCCTTTTGGCTCTCCCTGTACACCCAGCAGTCATCTTCTAAATAAGGCAGGAGGTGGGGGAAGTGTTTTATGCTTGGGCTAAGGTTCCCAGCAGGATTTATGTTCTTAAAGCACTGCTGGGACATTTGCTAATCAGAATTTCCCGGGGAAATAAAAACCCAAACCACCAGCTAAGAAAAATGGTACAAAGGGAGGGGAGTATCAGAAATACTGATTTTTCTGATCATTTGCCATAAGCTTGTGCTTGCAGTTGAAGGGGGTGGGTTTCAAGTGCAGAAATGGATGAGCTTTTTCCCAGCATGCTCCCAGATCCATGGAGCCCTTGAGCCCTGTGCAGAGGTCACAGCCAGCTCCTCCAGGGGCTCACTTGCTTTGTGCCTTCATCTGAGCTTGTCCTGCCTGGCTTCATAGGTGCTTGGAAGTTCTTGTATGCCAAGGCTGGTAAAGAAGTGCACCCTGCTAGAGCATGGAAGGGAGGGTGACATGGGGACACACTGTGGGAGCTCAACTTTTATTTCTGTGCCATCGCTCTTTCAGAGCCTTAGTGGACAGGAGAACAGGATGGAGGCAGCTGCAGCCTTGGGCACAGATGACCTGCTGGCAGGGGTGTCTGTACAGCCCTCTTTAGCAGAGGATTTGAATTCCTCAACAGATTATTTACCTAATGGGATTATAAGGGATGAACATTTCTACCTATTTCCCCTTGACACGGGTTTGTAATCTGAACCAGTAAAGAACTCCTGGCTCCTGTCAGGATCAGTGCAATTCACTGTTTGAAGAAATCAGGTTTTGTCATGGCTTTTAAACTATGTTCTTCCTCTTCTTCAGCTGCCTTTCCCCACAACCTATGAGACCAAGCACATCTTTTTGCAGCTGAAGCACTACTGGCTCTTACTAAACACAATAACCCCATTTTTCTTGTTGCAGGTGGCCCACATACTGACAGTACAGGATCCTCTGCAAGTGGACCATAGCCTTTCTAAAAACAATAAAGTCCTGATGTTCTTCCTCAGCCATTGACATGTCTTTTTCTTCAGCAACACAAATCGAGCACTTTTACCTCCTTTACTTTTCCCACTAGTTTTCAGAGGGCAGGCTTTAATCCATACCCATGTTATCCTGTTCTTTTTAGTTTTATTTAGAACTTCTTAAAAGGCTCACTCAGAGTTTTTATCAGGCAACACTTTTTTATGCTCTCAGCAGTCTGATTTTGTTTAATATAGAAAGATGAACAATCATTTTGTAGCACTTTCTCGATATCTTCCCACCTTCTGGTTTTAAAGTGGAGAACATCTCTACACCGGGTTTGCCTCATGCAGTTTGTGAGCGAGTCTGATTAAGAAAACCCAGGGACCTAAATTTTGTTTGGAATGAAGAAAACATAGTAACTGGCACTGCTGGAAGCTAAATAGTGTGCTGTGCTCCAAAATAAATTAATGAATAATTTATTTACTGTGTAAAACCTGCCTTGCTCTTTGCCCTCTCTGCTCTGTCATCTCTGAGATTCTTATTGCCCTCTACAACTTCTCACTTTCTACAACTACCTGAAAAGAGGAAATGCCCTCAAGTTATGCCACGGGAGTTTAGATTGAATATTAGGAAGAAATTCTTAACTGGAAACATTGTCAGACATAGGAAGAGGCTGCCCAGGGAAGCATTTGAGTCCTGCCCCGTTCCTGTGGGTCTTTGATAGCTATGATGATGTGGCACTTAGGGTCACAGCTTAGTGATGTGCTTGGCAGTGCTGGGTTAACAATTCTCAATGTTCTTAGAGGGCTTTTTCTACCTTAACAACGCTCTGAGCCAAAGCTGCTGGTGCCTGGCAGGTTTAGCAATAAATTCTAGTTGATGATACAAATGTCTGCAGTTTCACTGTCTGCTGTTTAATTATTGTGTGTTGGCCCTAATTGGCTCCTCCCTTTTCAAAGCTTACTGTGAGCAGCATTGGCTCAGCAGAGCATTTCCTCCCAGGGATGGGCATGTGAGATAATGCCTGCAGAGATGTTTCCTCACAGTCTTGTCTAAGTCCTGGAAAGCTTCTGCAGAGCAGACATGGACCTTCTCCTAAGCATCACCCCCCAAAACGCCTGAGCCACACACAGCTTCCTTGGATGAAAGATGTGCTCAAGGATGGGATGAGGCTCCTAGGCAAGTAGTGTGGAGATCTCCATCCCACCCTCAGGAGAGAGTGTGTGAGGCTCCAGAAGTCACTCCACATTGTCCCACCAATGCCTTTGCAGTTGCATCCCAGCAAAAGCCTGGCCGATGCAAAAGCCTGGCTCCTGCTCTGTGTGTATTCCTTGGAGACTGCAGGATTGCTCTACAGGTTCCAAAAGAGGCCTTTGGATAAAGCCTGACTGAGCTACACCACGTTGCTCTCTCAACACCTCAGCCTCAGCCAGGCTGACTCCTGGACAGTCTCTGGCTGGGAGTTAAACTTTAATATGGATTGGGGGAGAAGAACCCAGGCATGACTCAGCCACCCACAGTCCTTCCCTTCCCCTCCCCACTGGCAAGGGCAGAGGGACTGGGGAGAAGCAGAGGGATCAGAGACTGAGCAGGGATCTGAGAGCCAGGGGCTGACCTAGCATGGAGCCCTGTGACCCACGAGGGAAAAGAGTTGCTATTGTCGGTGGTGGTCTGGTAGGAAATGCCATTTAGCTGCTGCATGATTGTGTTTGCTGGGGAGCTGGGGCTGTAAAAACACTGCTTGAATGTGGGGGTGAATGCTTTTCTTAAAATCATTCCTCTGTCAGATGATGGGGTGTTGCGAAGGGGTTGATTGAGTTCCTACTGTGGGAGGCTCCTGTCCTTTTCTCAGATGAAGGGGTTTGGGTAGTGGGTGGAGCAGTAGTGCCCAGGTACACACCAAATAAAAGTCCTTGTTTGGGCTGCCAGGTTCCCCAGTCCCTTGGCTGATTTTGGCTGTAATCAAATCTCTAGTGTGAAATGCTTTGTAAGAACTGAGAGTGGTAAAAGCCAGGCTGGGAGGAAATGCCTTCCTCTGCCCACTTTTGTTTGGGAATGGTTCTCATCTGCTGCTACTTGCAGAGAGGTGTGACACTAAAGGCCAGGCTGGATGGGGCTCTGAGTAACCGGTCTAGTGGGAGGTGTCCCTCTCCCCCATGGCAGGGGGTTGTAACAAGATGGTCTTCAGCATCCTTTCCAACCCAAACCATTCTATGAGTCTGTGATTCTGTGACAGCTCGGGGCATTGCAGCACCTACATCTTTCTCTTGACTTTTTGGACATTAGGTCCTTGGAAAAGAGTGATAACAGAAGAGGCTGTAGTTCTGGCAACAATTCATAATGGAAATTAGATTTTAAAACTAATTTAAATTGCAAGCAGGACATATTTGTACTGTTCTCCCTCACTATGTTCCCAAGGGAATGCTGCTGCACTCTGAATTCTAGTGAGGAAGGTAAACAGAGTCCAGAAAGGAGCTGGGAACTTGTCTACACCAGCTCCTGCTGCCTCTGGCTGAAGAGGTGAGCCCTGCTGCACTCAGCTGCTGTGTGTAAACAAGCCTGAGCTTGGTATAAACTTTACAAACATTTTAGACTTTATAAAAAGAGTTTTGATGGGTTGCTTTTGTCTTGGAGACTCTGCAAACACACAGGGCTGCCAGAGGACTTCAGTAAAAAATCTTCCCAGGTTCTTGGTCAAAGGATCTCCCCGTTTATGCTGAGCTGCATCCCCTGATCACTTCTTTCCTTTGATGCATCTCAGTAGTGCCCTCTGAAACACTTCACCCACCATTCCTGATCCTTTTCTTGCAGGTGGGTGCGTTAAATGCCTGTTTCTTGGCTAGACGAGGTTTCCATGTTGACGTTTATGAAGCCAGAGAAGGTAAGGTCAGCCTGATCATTACTGAGAGCTCCCTGAAACTGCAAGAAAATAACCAAATTTGAGAGTGGCAGTTTGGGGATATTCTTTTCTCTCTCCCCTTTAGCTCCTGTGGTGGGGAGGAGCATTTATTTGAAGTTCATCTTGTGTGGAGGGAACCCACTCTTTATCTACTTAAATGATGCCCTTTTTATATTCTTGGCTTAAACACTGATTCAGATCCTCACCTTTGAAGCCTGTTCTCTGCAGGAAGCATTATAGTACAGTGCTGGGCCAGAAGGAGAGATGGAGCCTCCAGGTCCACAAGGCACCACAAAAGAGAAATTAGGATTTAGAGCTAAAGGCAGAGAAATTGTTCATCTTCAGTATCTGTCAGCTGGCAGACAAAAAAAAACCCTTGGTAGAGGTGGCAAACTGAATGGCAGGTGGGAATGATACCATGGGAAGAGAAATGACTCAAGTGTGCGGTGAAGGGGAGGAGGAGCCATGCCTGACACTGCAGTAACTCTCCCTGCCCTGACAGACAGCAGAACAGGCAGTTCTGCTGCATGGCTTACAGCTGACACAAGTCCCACAGCTTCAAAAAGCCTCTGGTTGCTCTCACCTGCCTTCTGAGTTGGATGGATCCTACTGTGCTAGTCCATTTGTCCCATTGCTTACAGCGATACCCATGTTGGGATGAGGAGGCTCTGTCCCATACACTGGCCAGACAGCCCAGGAAGTCTAAAGGAGACAACTCAGAGGAGGAACAGGCCAATTCCCAGACATTTCCATCTGATCTGGCATGGAGAAGGTGACCTGCCAACATCACAAAAAGCATCAGTCTGTGGACCTCCGCAGAACCTGGCAGGCATTCATTGCTCAGCCTTCTCCGTTTAGAGGGGAAATGGCTCTTAATGTTAATGGACCCTCTGGCAGGTGGGGCGCTGTCAGAGTCCAGCATTCCCTTTGCAGCACTTGGCTGCAGCTGCTTCTGCCAGGCTGGAGGTGGCACAGAGGATCCAGGCTAGGCTCCCCCTACCCCACCTGCTGTTGCTGCAGGGGGCTTGGGAGATGTTCCCCTCCCCAGGCTGTGCTGTCATTGCCTCCACAACCAGCTGCTCTCCCCTGCAGATATCCGAGTGGCCGGCTTTGCGCGTGGCAGGAGCATCAACCTTGCCCTGTCTCACAGGGGACGCCAAGCCCTGCGAGCTGTGGGGATGGAGAACCAGGTACTCTGGCACATCTGGTGCTGGTGGGGGTCTCTGTGTCCTCTCCTTTCTTGCCCTGTCCCAGCCAGACCTCTTCCACTGCATGCAGTCTGGCTCTCCCCTGCTTCACAGCACGTCTGCCAGCAGGACCTTCCCCATGCCAGGCAGCTGGGCTCTGCACCTGGCAGTGGGTGCTTCCCTGGGACACCAAGCACCTTCCTGTGTTTACCTCCCTGCTGTGCTCCCCTCCCTCCTGGAGAAGAGGGCAAACAGGGCAGGAGTAGATGGACTCCCAACAGAGCTGATGCAATAAAGCAGGATGCAATAAAGGCAGCTGTTTTCCCCACTGACACGTCCAAATTTGTATTTTCCCATAAAACCTTGGTCTTTGGGCTGACCCCTGACATCCATCCACACTGCCTTCTGCCCAGCATGCTGGGCTGGGAGCCCAGCACTCTTCTGCAGGGTACTGGCTACCATTTAACATCCAGCTGTTGGCTGTGGTGGGATCTTCTGGTCTCTGGATCCCTGCAGAGGAGCCCAGGCTTTGACAACACACATCCCAGTCCCAGGATGTAATTTGGCTTTCATCCCCTGCCCTGTCCAGCACTCTGGGATTTTACACGTCCCTTCTATCCAAAAACAATTTCCCTCTGATTTTTATGAGAATGAGCTTGTAAGTAATCTCAGTAAACTGCAGTAAATTGATGTGACAGCCCTGTTAAAGTTTTCCCTGGTTATTTGGAAATGTGTGAGGAAAGAAACCCCCATTCTTCCCTGAGTGCAGTGCTTGGGTGAGGGGATGATGCTTGGTAACCTGTACTAAAATCCCAGAGTTTTGGCCAGAAGCATGGCTTGTGTTTCCCTGCTGTTTCAGATTGTGGCCAAGGGCATTCCTATGCGGGCAAGGAGGATACACACACCTTCAGGGAAAAAATACTCTATCCCTTATGGGAAGAAGAACCAGGTACTGGA